AAAAAAAGGTTGTGTTCTTTTCTTCTGTGTGCTTTTATTGACAAATCTAATGGCAAAGGAGGCATTGATTCACCAGTTTTTGCTGTTGTTGTTTATTTAATTTCGATACACTCACGGAATACACAAAAAGGATGTAACAAAAATAGGAACAAAACAAAATTTAAGGTGAGAGTTAATTCATTACAAGACGCAAAAATAAACAAACACCAACGCAACTAACACGATGTATACATGTGTGTGTATAAAGAGCAAAGAAAAATCCTCACGAACACAAACACTCATAACTAAAAGCGTTGTTGAAACATTTGCGAAAAAGAACATAGCCTCATATAACTGACCCCGTCACGACCCTATGATGCTATACATCACCTTTGATATGTACATAATTCGTCAGGGATTTTGTGAAAATCTTTATGGAAACAATTGGAAAAAAGCATAAAATTTGGTGGGGTTGTGGTTGTCGAATAAGCTAAAAAAATACTGTCAAATGGAAAGAGAACTTTCGCACTGGAACTTCTGACTAATGTGGGTCTATAAAGATTTGATTTTCAATATTAAATTTCTGAATATGAGAGCACCATTTAAAACTTTTCTATTTGTAATTCAAATTGCGTTGATTTATAATTTCAATTTGAATCCAAAATCATTCATTTTGAAATTCGAACTTAGCCACTCGAATTCAGAACTTTTCATTTAATATTTAAATTACTATAGTTCACATCTAAACCCTCTTAGATGTAACTCCAAAGATTGCAACTTTAAAATATAATTTATAAGTGGAGTTTACCACTTTCGGTTAGCAGATAAAAATCCCAAAAGGGTTTTGGGTTCCCAGACCAAACTTTTTTAAGGTCCATTTTATATAGAGTCTTAACCATACACGAATTGCCTCAAATATTTTGATGAAAGCAAAAAATGTCGGAAATAGCATCGAATTTTAGAATAAGTTTAAGTTTGTTCAAATTGACCACCTTTGCCACAAATTATGGCCTTCAGGCAGCAAATGAAACCGTCACACGCTGTCCGAATGTTGCTCTGTGGTATTTTGGCCCAATCCCGGTGAAGCGCTTGCTTGAGGAGATCGACACTTTGGTATTTTTCAGTGCCGACTTTCCAAAATACTCCAGACACAATAGTCCAACGGATTGGTATCCGGAGATTTTTGAGCCATTGTGCGCTGGAAACGAAGCGAGGAACCTCATTTTGTAACCATTCTTGGGTGGCGCGTGCTGAGTGCGATGGTGATGAGTCCCATTGGAATGTCCAAGGTATGCGGTCAAGATATTTGCGTGCCTAAGGCTTTAATACACCCTCCAGAATATTTTCGCTATAATATTCGAGCAAAGAGCGACAATTGGGTGTTATGGCGGCCCACACCATCGCCATAGCCGGCACTTGAGTTCTGGTGGCCAACCGAAGGTTCACATTTTCAGTTGACCTCTTTGGCAAGTAAATACGATAATTTTGTTTGTTCACAAACTGCTGAACAACGAATGTTTCCCCATCGGAGAAAACCAAATTCGGCAGTTCACCACTGTCGGCCATGCGAAGCAACTCTCTTTTTCTTTCTGTTGCAGTGTAAGTTCTTGCACAAGCTCATTTTTCAATCTCGGCCGAATGGGATATTGCGATATATCCAGCTCACGAGCTTCTTTGCTTTCCGAACCATTTCTGCTGATGTTACTGTTTTCTTCCGTCCACTTCCTTGACGTCGGGCTACGCTACCAGTATCACGGTAAAGAGCAATGGTATGAGACACAAAAGATTTATTAACATTTAAATGCTGGAGTGCTCTAACGATAGCCACATGTGGTTTTCCAGCCAAATATTAAGAAATCACACTATCACGCTCGAATTCCATTACGAATAACTTTTTTTCTGGAAAATCCTCACCAAAATGCTTTTGTATAAATTTTAACAGCTGTCGGACGAGTGACTTTAAAATTACATCAGTCTGAAGTTGGTTGCAGTTTTTTTCATCTCACCCTGTTGTGTTTTAACCTTCAATACAGACCATTCGGTTACATTTGGAATCATTTGTACAAAATATCGGTCTTGTTGATCTACGTTTCAGTACGTTTTAGCCATTTTTTAGCCTCACCATACTATGCAGTGTATATTTACTTTGTCATTCCATTTGTAACTCCTGGAAATGCTCATGTCAGACCCAGGAAAATATATATATTCTTGATCAGCGTACAATTGTAAGTCGATCTGTGTGTCTTTGGAACGGATTGAGATAGAAGGCTAAAATTTTGCAAATATTTGTATTTTGTCAGTAGGCAGGTTAAGTTCGAAAATGGTTCAAGTCAACAACCTATGTCAAATAATTACCAATGAAGGTCCACCCAAATTCGGTATTTTATGATTTTAGAAACTGTTTCAAATTTGGTATTTTAAGTTCGTAGTGGGTATTACTTTGTATGCAGATCCACGGTTCGTATAGCCCCCCAAATAACGATACCTCCCAATATTCGGCATTTTGATAATTTTAGCGGCATTATTCACCGGAATTATTTTAAGTTTCGTATTTGAAGCTCGGAAAAAATACTAATGCAAGTCCTCCCGTCTTCGTATAGTCGCCATATAAATTCTTCTTCAAAATGGTTTGAGGGTATTAAAAGTTCGAACCGGCCCAACATAGGCACTTTTTTACTAGTTTATACTAACATTGGTAATTTGAGCTCTTAGTAGAAGCCATCCTTGCAAATATGTTAATGTAGGCCCACGTATAGGTATAAACCTCATATGAAGGTATCACCAATTGAGTTGGTCCACATTTGGCACGTTGGTTTCTAAGGGGGTAGAAAATGTAGGTCAATGTTTTTGGAGTAGCGTCCATAAAAATATGCCTCCTGATTTTACCTATTTCGAGGGTCTTCACCACATTTTTCAATCGATTTGCCTAAAAGCTACTATGAAAACAGAGAACCATTTTACAGAAAAATAGTCCACAAGTAACGATACCTCCCAGGTCCACGTTTCAGCCAATATTGTCGGGGAGTTAAGAAATTTTAAGTGAAGGTAATCGGTTCAGGTAGTTACAACAAATCCCTTAAGTCATAACCGTCTTGGCGGACGTTACACCTTTTTACAACCTGCATTTGAAAGGTTGAAATTTCCATAACTGGAAATGTTTAATTCTATTTTGGCAAGTATTATGACATTTGGGCTATATGGCGCCTTGGTCATTGTGCTCAAAACCAGACAATGGATGAACTAACTGCCAAAGTAGCTGGAAAATGTTTCCAATTTAATAGGAAAAGTCTGAAAATCCATAAAGTGGGCATGAAATTATTTTTCCGATTTTTTTTATAAAAATATTGAGTCATCATCAAATGACAATTGTTTAATAGAAAAAACATTAATTTCGGCCAGGCCAAACTTTTGGCACAATTTGGTTATATGTGCCAAATTCCATCCCATTTGGACTAATATTACACATTTGGTGTTCAATAAAATCAGACGAAGATATATATGGGAGTTATATGTAATTTTTGACCCATTATCTCCAATTTGATTAGGGCCAAACAAATGTTTTGTGGAAAATTTCATATTAGTCGAACAATAAATACGACTGGTACTTTGTTTACAAAATTTAATGGACAGACGGAGGTACGGACGGACATGCATGAATCGACTCAGAATGTGATTCTGTGCAGATCATCAAAAGGAACTATAGACCCATAGTTCCTTTTGATGACCTGCATAGAATCACATTCTGCATAGAATCACTCGCTTCCTTCTCTATGTTACAAACATATAATACCCTGACCACGGTGTGGTGTAAGGTATAATAAAAATGTCGTCAAAATACCGAATTGCACTATACGTGAACGTACATATCCAATGTTACGCCCCGGAGCTAGAACCCATTACGAACTACAAATACCACTTTTTCCACAAATCGGTCGAAAATGTGGCTAAAACCATCAAAATGCCGAATATCGAAAGGTACCTTTATATTGAGACTGTAGTAAAACGTGGATCTATACAGAAGTGGATGCCACTAGAGTAGAACCCGTTTCTAACTCTTAATATCAAATTTTAAACAATTCCGTGAAAAAATGTAGCAAAAATCATCGAAATACCGAATATTAGGAAGTATGGAATATGGAGGCTAAACGAAAAAGATGACGTGTATGTCTCATTTTTAATACCATCCTAGATACAATACAAACTATTGTGCCAACATTTAAAACTCTACGTCAAATAAGGTGGGCTGTATCGTGATTTCAATAGGGTCCTGAATTATTTTTGATATTGTAATTATCACCAGTCTGGCAAATATCTTTTTACCATTCAAAAGGTACTGGAAGAAGCTATTCTAAATCATTGTGCGGTGTTTAGCCGATCATAACGCACAAAATCAATTTTGGTCGTTATGTCCATTGGGCGCCATGTTCCTTGGGCACTATTTCTGAAAGAAATGCTGGAGCTGCCCAAAACAGAAGGAAAAAATTGAAAATACTTCCTAAATGGTAAAAAGCATTCAAAGGGAACAGGAAGAAGCTATTCTGAATAATGTGCGGCGTTTAGCCGATCATAACATACAAAATCAATTTTGGTCGTTATGTCCATTGGGCGTCATGTCCCTTGGGCACTATTTATGTTAGACGTTAATTTTTCCGGAGGCCCTGGCCGTTGGGTTCCATGTAACTTGAGTTCCATATACACTTGTCGTCATGTCTTACACTATTTCCAATGTGAAAAGTTGCCAATTTGGTAGGAAATTGCATCAAATCCAAAAAATCAACAACAAAACTTTTTTCGAAAAAATTTTAAGACTGTGACCTTTGAATTCTTATTAAATTCCCGACCAAAAAACCTACAATTTGAAGTTTCAAGAATAAAATTTCTTAATGAAATTCGCCTACATCCAGTGGTTATTTGGTTAAATACTATCCAATTACGAGGCATTCGACGCAATAAAGGAATGTTGCAGATTTTTGGTTTATATTTATAATTTCATTTTAATATATACAATTATACACACTTACATTTGTTTATTGTAAAATAATCAAAACCAAAAATTAAATGGAAACTATTAACTGTATACAGGGGAGCTCTATCAAAGAGACAACAAACTTTAATTGGCATGTAAAACTAAAAAAATAACAACAACCAAGTTGTACAGATAAAATAACTACAAGAGGGCTGCACTTAAAATTGCTGTATTTTTTATTTGTAATGATACTATGTGCGTATACTGCTGTTTTCAAAGTTGTATTTGTTTTGAATCCTTGTTATTTTTTGTTTGTTTTTGTCCGTCTATCTCACTTTTCTCACTTGTTAAGTTTGTTTGTGACTTTAATTTTAATGGCTTTTTTATGTAAATTTATTTAATTTCTTCTTGTCATCATTAATTATTTATGACAAAAAACAGACACCAAAGGATACACACAAACACACATGCACACATTTGTACACAGTATATTCAGTTTAAGTAGAGAAATCACAATAATGAAATTGACACACATACGCTCCAACAAACGTTTAAGATTTTCACGTCACTAGAAATTGCTACAATAACAACAACATGAATGTGAAAAACAAAATATTTAATTATTTGCTATATTTTTTCATTACAATATTTCAATTTGTTAAGCACCTTTTGAAAAAATCACGATGACTTTCAATAAAATCTTGCTTTGTTTCAAAAAAAATATTCTTTGTTTTATTATTTTTTCACTTAGGCGTTTGTCTGTTTCTTTTGTTTTTGTTGTTGTGGTCTTCTAGCATGGGAATGCACAAGAAAAATAAGCAACCGTTTAGCACAAAGGATGTACTCTTTCTGACTGCCTAAAACTATGCAGCATATAACACAGGCCATAAGGCTGAACATGGATTCTTATATGACTGGAAAAGCTCTCTGGGAAAACAATACACAAAATAATTGTATCTCATCTCATAGGAATTTTCTCTTAACCACCACGTAATAATAACAAGAGAAATATCCTTAGAAATCCACACACACAGTGTCAGAATGTAAAGGCGCGCACATCTCCAGCGAATGTTGTGCCAACTATTTCATCGGATTCGCAATTCTCTTTTCCGAGTTATATCGTAAACTCTTTCACATAAATGTGCTCTTCAAATGGAATATGTACAGCTCTTTCATTTGTAAAAGTTGAAATCTCAGCAATTTATGTATTCCTTTTGTGGGAGAACACATCATGGCGAACCATTAAATCTCTACACCTAAGAGTAAAAACCAACCATCCACCCACTTTACCACAATCGCATCCCCCGTTTAAGAAGCAACCAGCAAACATCCTTTACAGCAACCCTCTTAACCACCCCACCGAGCCAAAGAAAACTCGTGTTAGTTGTGTTGTTTTTATTTCATATTTACAATTTATGCCTAGGTGAATGCTTTGAAAGCTCATGTGGTGTTAGAGATAAAAGACTGGGTCGAATCAAACAGTATTTTGTAAAAAAATATATATTCAGTTATATAAAAAGTAGAGAATATGAAAATATTAAAAAAATCACATTGATGTTCAAAGAGGACTACTTTAATAGGAAGAAGACATTATTTAAGGAAATATTTTTTAAACATTCGGCGTTCAAAAATCAAAAATTCCTTAGAAAATATTTTTGATATGATAGGAGCCTTTAGAATTTGTTTTTAAAAATCCAATGTTTGAAGATTTTTATAAATATTTTTAAAAATATGCTTTCACAAGGAAATAATTTATAATGTGCCACATTTAAACGATGATTTGAGCGTTTATAAAATATTTGTGTAAGGCCTTTTTAGTAAAACCATTGCACAATGCACGTCTATATCAAATTACAGGATTTCAGCTCTACCCTTTCACCCAATACCATATTAGTAGCATTTAGTTCTTTTCGTTAAAGTACGCATTTTCAAAACAATATTCATCCATGAAATGAAAAAGTTGCAGCAAACTTCAGACTGCTATCATTTCTAAGCCACTCGTTCGACAGCTGTTAATAGTATTCCAGTGACAGCTCATTATATTGTTTACAAGCGTACAAAAGCATTTTGGTGAGAATTGTCCAGAAAAAAAGTTATTCATGATGGAATTCAAGCGTGATAGTGTGATTTCTTTATATTTGGCTGGAAAACCACAAGTGGCTATCGTTAGAGCACTCCAGCATTTAAATGTGCATAAATCTTTTGTGTCTCGTACCTTCGCTCGTTACCGTGGTACTGGTAGCGTAGCTGCGGAAGAAAACAGCAACATCAGCAGAAATGGTTCGCAAAGTAAAGAAGCAACTTGATCGAAAACCGCGTCGCAGTGGCCGAAAAATGGTATTCCATACAGCAATTATTGAAAAATGAGCTCGTTGTAAAGCCATTGGAATTCCAAAAAGTTCAAGAACTTACACCGCAACAGAAAGGAAATAGACTCAAAAGAGCTAAAGAGTTGCTTCGCTTGGCCATGAGAAAACATTCGTAGTCCAGCAGTTTGTAAATGAACATAATGATCGTGTTTACTTGCCAAAGAGGTCAGCTAAAAATGTGCACCTTCGGTTGGCCCCCAGAACTCAAGCGTCGGTCATGGCATTGATGTGGGCCGCCATAACAGCCGATGGTCGCTCTCCGCTCGTATTAATCGACCGTGGCATCAGAATAAATGCAGAATATTATAGCGAAAGTATTCTGAAGGGTGTATTAAAGCCTTTGGTACGTAAACATTTTGGCCGCAGGCCTTCGACATTCCAACAGGACTCAGCACGCGCAACCCAAGAATGGTTACACAATGAGGTTCCACACTTTATTTCCAGCGCATAATGCCCATTCGGGCATCGTGTGACGGTTTCATTGGCCGTTTAAAGGCCATAATTCGTGCCAAAGGTGAACAATTCGAACAAATCTAAAAAAATTCTAAAATTTGATGCTATTTCCGAAATTTTAGCTTTCACTCAGTAAAATTGAAAAAAATGACTTTGTTGCAGTTTTTTATCTAACCCTGCATTTTTCATTCTGTCCCTGCAAACGTTTAAAATTGGCTTTTATCTTCTCTCAGCAATTCTTTACTCTTTTTCTTTTCTGACTCTTTTTCTTAAAAAAAGATGATAGTTGGCAATTTTCAATTGTTAACGATATGCAATTAATAATGCGTGACTTTTAGGAAGATAAAAAAGCGACACATCATGTTTTCCAAAAACAATTACTTAAGATTCCATCGCTTAGGTAACTTTCACACCAGCTATTATCTCAGAAGTGGAACAGTTTCATTAGTTATTCTTATATTCTTGGATAAGAATGAGATTGTACATTCTTATCAGCAATAATTTTTAATTGAAGTTTTCGTCACTCAGGCGATAGAAATTATTTGCAGGGATGAAGCCTCCTGTATAGTGAGTGAGCAGCTTAAAATTACTTTAATAGTAATAAAAACTCTTTCCACCCATTTTGATGTTTTTCTAAAAATCTTAGTTCTACGTCAAATAATTCTGTTTAAACATCACCAATTATAGATCTAATTTTAAAATTAATCATACCATCATATGTTATGTACTTTATCTTCTCACATCCACACTCACTTCAAATATTAGCTTCCATCGAATTGCTATGTTGACTTTTGATGTTGTTTTCAATTCACTTGTAAACGTAATGTATCTAATGAATATTTGGTGTAATCCTTGTTTGTTCTTCCTTTCCATTTTCCCCTGTTATAAAAAAGGGGATATGGTGGTGGGTTATTTGGCCGGCCTTTTTTTATTATGTTGAAAGGAAACTTCGCTATTTGTTGTTATTCTTAGTTTGGAATTATAACATGGTTTGTGCTCATCCTGTCTATGGAGTAGTTGATGTTTTAATTAAATCAAAAGTAGCTACCAAGTCCAATTTTGCCTTTTTAGACAATCCGAGAGATTTCCTATAATTTTCAAATTTAAAACCATTTTTTATTTTGGAATGACATATTTTTCAGTGCCTGGTAATTTTTACATTATTTGAGTCACAAAAATTTGAGTCATGAGGATGACTTTAATTATCAAGTTCAAGTGGACCAAAATCCTTTTTGGAATATTTATTTATTTTAAAAATTGCGTGTTTGACCCGTAATCAAGAGCATTTTTATAAACGATTCGTAACGAACGAATGCAAGGGCTTGGGTCAAGGTCCACAATAAAGTCAGACAGAAGCACACAGATCTTTCCCCTCAACATCATGGACCAGATTAGTTTGGACACTGTAGATTTTCATCTGAAATTAGATTAGCCTTTTCAGATAGAAAAAAATAAAATAGCTAAACGGTGGTCTAAGAGTGTAATCGATTGTGTGCTCTGCGTTTGTCCTATCTTAAAAGGCTGGACTAATTTCCGGAATTTTATTACCTATTTGACCAGCAAACTAATAAAGAATAAGTGTAATTAAGTACCTAAAGAAGTACCGTTCCGCGGCTATAAATCAATGCAAAATTTATAGTAAACAACTTATGTGATTTGAATGTCACTTGTCTATCAACATATATAATTACAAATCCAGTAATGATATTTCCGTATCAACTCCACAGGCGTCCTACAACTTCGCTCTAAAAAACTCTGCATGCCATGCGCACCAGTACCAGGCACACCACCCATCCAGTCATGTTTACTTGGTATAAATACGTCGATAGATTAAAAATCAAAGCGGGTTCATTTCAATTAAAATATCACGGCCCAACCGCGTGCAGGATCGTCGCACTTGCAAAATTTAAAGAACGCAATGCTCCTCTCATTACTTATAAATGGTCCTACATTGTTCTGAGAAGTCTTCAAAAGGTCTTCCCTTAGTAAATGCTGGTAAACCTTGTTAAGATCATTTAAAATGGAAAATTTAAATCTTCTATAGGTAGAGGACTTTTCCAAATGTCTTTTGATGACAAAAGGCATTCTAAAAGTTTACTTTAGACAAAAAAAGTTCTAAAGAAGAATTATCAAAAACTTCATCCGTAGATATATGGGATTCGAAAGTTGTTCCAAATAGACTTTTAATATTCATTCTGAGAAAAATAAGTGCATGCAGTGCATTCATGTTAGGCTCCACTATAAGCTTTTATTACATTGTACTTTATTAAAAATTATAAGATTCTAACGATTCTGACAAATTTGTCTATATTTTAAGAAAAAACATACATTATTTAAAACGGTTATACATAAATATTTTGTTTCAAATTAAGAAAATTCAATAGATGCAACTAATAAAAAGATAATGCATACAATATACGAAATTTAGATAAAACCAAATTTGGAATGGAATGGTATATTTGGGAAGTGTTTTATTCTCTGAGACGTAAGTCAATAACTTCACCACCTTCCAAATCTAAATCTGCTGGAGTATCATTAAGTTCTAGGGGTTCGCCATCAAAACTGTAAATAAAAGTGATAGTTTTTTTTTGAGTGGTATTTATTGTTAAATAGCTTACCTCAGACTGATTTTCTCCGTTGTTATGTTCAACTCCTCGGCACATTTTATATACAAAATACGAAATAAATCAGTTTTTTTAATATCAATTTGAAGCGGTCTCTTCCATTTATCCGACTGCACTTTCACACTTATTTGATTGGCGTTGCGATGTTTCTTTGTAACTGCCGTTTTGCCCGTAGCTAATGGCGAATTAAATTTCATAGTTACAACACGTCCGTCTGTAAATGGAAGACAAAACCATAATTCGAAATTGAAACGTGATTCGTTTGAGATCCTACTGAGATTTTCTCAGGTTGGGAATAATATTAGATCCTTCTACTTTTTCTAAAGATATGTAGGATTTTAAGCCATAAAATTATATACTCACTAATAAATTGGAAAATCTTATAATCTATCGACTCGGGAGTATCATCTGCTGTTATAATACGATCATCTAAATTTAAAACAATACTATCCATACCAGCATTTTCACGTTCAGCTAATTTTTGAATTATCACAGCAAATTTTTGGTATTTGCGAAGTTTAAATGATTCGGGTTTACCGTTCCATTTTATCTTGACAGATATTTCGGGATTATCTTCTTCAATTGAAACGTCCAGCGTGGAAGTAGTTTCTGTATGTTTCCTCCTACCAAGACTTATGGGCTGCTGATTGGGATCTATTTCTCCATCAGAGTCTAGAGATATTGTACCTTCGACACGAGGCAATGGACTAGATACTAAATCAACAAAGTCAACCTGTGTAGACCGTGCTGCAAGTTCTGCCATTTGATTTCGCCGAGAACGGGCAGATTGGCTGTTTCTTGTTTGGCGACCTCGCCCGCGAGCTAGTCCCAAGAAACTTTCCATAATGGATGGCAAACCTGCTAATACGCCTACAGGAGATGGTATATAGGTGGGGGCATGCGTATCTGCCTCCCCCAATGCCTGGGGAACATATTCTCCATCTGAGTCGGTATTATTAGAACAGCTATTATCATTCGATAGATTTTCGGCAATAGCATTTCTTCCACTACGACCACGACCCCGTCCCCGTCCCCTTCCTCTCCCTCTTCCACCACGTCCTTTTATTTTGCTGGTATTTTCCTTATCTCTTCTTTCGGCTTCAGCAGCAGCTGCTGCATTTTTTTCTGCTATTTTCCTTAAGGCGTCAAAGCTTTTTCTGGTTACTCTGGGCAATTCCGGTACTGTATCCATAACATCATTATGTCCAGCATTCTTATCGAAATTTACTAAGCAATCTAGGGTTGGAGACAAGGATCTCTCTGAAGACGAAGTAGATCTGCGATGAACTGTCTTTCGACCTTTTTTCTTTGCTTTATCTTTTTTATCTTTGGAGGCAACAGTGTCTTCAGTTCCTTTAGCATTTTTAGACTTTGCTTGCGCACAGATTTCGTCACTGGCCTCAACATTATTCATTTTTCTACGTTTCGAGGGACTTTTTTTGGTTACATTATTGTTCAGCATGGATTCAAAGTCCTTATCCAAATCGCTGTCATCGCTACTGAGCAATCCATTAGTGTCGTTTGCATCCTTAGCGGCATTTGAATTTTCAAGCGATTTGAGTTTATCCAAAAGATTAACTGTAACAGAGAGAATAAAATTGAGCCTTAAATATATGTAGAATTATTCTTGGCAATTTCATCACTTACCATTTTTTAGGGCATCTAAATTCCCAAATATATTAAACTCCCCGCTCATATTTCCAGATCCTTGTAACAAAACAAAGCGAATCTTGCTTGCAAGTGATGCGAAGTTTACAAATACCGCATTTGTAAATACAGAGAAATGGCAAGTTTTTGTAAAAGTAACTGGTAGTCACTGCATAGTTTCACAATGGCATCTTCTTTTTATGCTCTGTTCCAGAACCTGCAAAAATATATATAATTTTGCCATATCTACACTGAATTCGTAGTTCACCAAATTGTACGAAATCGAAATGAAAGAACGAATGAATGAGGAATTCGAACAGAACTCATGATTAGAAATATTGTAGTAGTGTAAATATTCTGTTTAAAAAAGTGATTTTTTTTGTACAAAAAAAAAACATTGCAGTTGATTCACCAATTTCCCTGAGCACATATTTGTTGAAAGGACCACCATCATTTATTTTTTTGTGACACAATTCTTTTAACGTATACGGTCCAATTTGTGAGGGGTTCCGAGGAATTTTGTTTTTCGGTAAGCTGTGACCAACTTGTTTCGGCAACCACTCGATCAGCCTTGACATAGCCCCTCGTTGGTCCTGGTGGCTAGTTGGTCCTGGTAAAATCTATGACAACTGTTTCTTGTGTCGAATTCCTGGGACTGCCCATAAAATACTAGTCAATGATTAATTGATTAAATAGCATTCCACAATACATATTTCACATATTTTAAGATAATTACATTTTTGTACAAAATTTGTTTTTTCTCTTTGCTTTAGTTTATTATTCGTAATACGTATAATTTTTGTTTGAAGAAAAAAGTTATTTTCAAGAAAAAAAATGATGTGGCAACACTTTCTTAACAATTGGTTTCGTCAATTCAGAAGCCCATGGTAGAATAATACATGTAACAGCAAGAGTTTTTGTACAACAATCGTAACAAAAAACACATTAAAATTTGTTTTTGTAAGTAATACAAGTGTCAGAGTAATGTGTCCAAAAATGTAAACAAAATAATTAATTTTCAATAAATTATTTTAATTTCAAAAATATACATTCTTGGAATTTGGATTATTAAATTGAAAATGCAGGAGAATTCTTCTTAAAATATTTAATTTTAATGCTTCCACATCATTCCCCTGAATGTATAGTTGTTAGCTGTTGGTCCTAATCTCTCAACACTTCAAGCAATCGCTAGAAAATCGCGGTTGACTTTCTAGATGAAACCAAACAGCATACATACATAAAGTATTCTACATTTTGCAGTTTTAGGAAACATGAAATATACGAATGTATTATCTAATGTGGTGTCGTTGTTCCTTCGGCGTTTTGTTAGGTACAGCGGCGATTTTTTCTATTATTAGGCAAAAAATAAGTTTACATTGCCCTGCAGTGAAATTTTATATCAAAAAGAGTATACCTACTGTTACCTGTAGAAATTATACCATGTTAGAAACCATTAAAGTTTGCTAATTATTTTAAATAAAAAGACAAAAAAAAAAAAAAATACATTCAATGGTGTATTTGTCATTAAGATAAAATTTTTATTACTTAAAGTCACAAGTTTCCATAAAAATACAATTTCACTTACAAAAACAAATGTGGTTTCAAACCGAAGTTATTTGAAGTGACACAAAAAACGAATTTGTAATTTATTTCATGAAATAAATCTATATTTCAGTTCCTCAATATAAAATAAACGATTTGCATTATGCTTTTTTATTTAAATAAATTTTGCTGTTATTGCCATAATATCAATATGAATTAAATAAACTTGACTTTAAAAGATAAAAGAAGGATGTGATATTTTTCTTACCATATTTAAAATAAACTTGTAATAATGAAAAAACTATTTATGTGTCCGACATCATCATTTTTTTATCTATCGGAAAGATGTAATAACCCATGGTTCAATAAGAAAGGTTACCCATCTCAAAGAAACTAGAAAAATTCAACTCTGTGCTGGAGTTTTATGGATCGAATATTGGGTTTTCTCCACAAAATTGAATTCAGTATAGAGGGACAATATTGTTTAGTCCCAAAATTTTACAATGTGTTGCCCATTAAAATATTCATATATTCATTTATTTTGCAACCGAATTTTAAAATAATTTCAAATTATTTTATTTTCTGAAAATTTTTTAAATTTGATTCGGGTTTGCATTTCTAAAAATCATATTTCTTTTTTGAATTTTAATTTATTGAGCGGAACCAAAATTGTTTATTCCCTCAGCATATTTGGGGGGAATTAAGTAGTAATTTAATAAATAATGGTCGAACAACAAATTAGAGCGAATCACGTGCTATGTTAACTTAGCCTAAAACAAGTCCTATTTATTTTGACATTTCATGTGGAAGGAACAAACGAAATGTCAAGGCGTTAAAAACAGATGAAATGTCAAAATTTATTTACATTTTGTTAGCTTTGTTAATCTTTCGTTCTGTGATTTCAATCACAATAATGCATTTTGACATTACATTTGGTAGGCTGCTGGCATAGCAGAATAAAGATGGTAAAGTTATGCAATCATATGTTTACAATTCTATCAAAATTATTCATTTGACAAAATCTCATTGTCAAAATATATTTGCAAATCCATTTTAAATACACAAATGCAGTGAAATTTGACAAGGTAAATTACAGAAAATGCAGAGACGGATGTGCTTATATACCTTCTTTATTTTACCATGTTGAAAACAATGCACGCACAAACAAAAACCGTGTATATTCTTTGTCAGAATAGGGACTTCAAAAGAAAAAAATTTATTTAAGAGGTATCTTTATTCTACCTTGTGTAATAGTTACCAAGGTATAACTTATGATATTTATATTTGGATTTGAATTTGAAAGGGATTGGGCTTTTCAAAGATTTCCTAGCGATCCCGTAAGTGATACAAGATTTGTACTTGCTGCTGTCAACTTTACATTAACAGCCTGTTCCACGATCTCGAAAGAAAATTTGTGCGAACGAAGGCTACTCACTCACTTTCGTATAAGAATGCGTTCCACTAACTTTCGTTCTTTCTTTCGCATAGCCTTACGTGATTCAGTGTTGCTAAATATTTTTTTGGAAAAATTAATCGCGAAATAAAGCAAACAAAGCGTAAAATGTCTAATTTAAACGCGAAAAAGCAGCAGTGGCTCTGTCTCAACTGACATTTCAGTTGTAAACAAACAAATTGTAAATAAACAAACAAAATAAAATTTCTAGTGATTGTGTTCAAACTATTTGTGCTCTTAGAAAATAAAAAAAAAGGGAACAACTCTAGTTTAGTAAAAACTCTTAGATTTTTTCGAAATTTTTTCCAGAGGTAGGTATTTTTACCCTGATCCCGGGAAACTATTTTTTTCTTGGGGGACGGACCCGGGACCCCAGATTTTTGACCCGAAAGTCCGGGATCAAGACCCCGCCTGGACCTGGATCCACTTACCCGATATAGACAATATGGGTATCGATTGAAAGCTTATGGAAATACCTATCCAACAAGTGGTCACATGAAGGGGTAAGTTGGCATGGTTCGGAAGTTATAGTCAAATTATCGATTTTTTGGACCCGGATTTTTTATGAAACCCCCAAAAAGTCAAAAAAGGGCCCATTATGGGGGTCAACAAAATTGTTTCCAAATTATAGCTGACACTCTGACCTTTCCAAAATGCTACAATTTGTGCTAATACCTTTTTCGGGTCCAGAGATATGGGTCTTTCCATCCGCATAACGCGATTCTAACCAGTTCATTAAAATGATGTTTTCAATAAAAAAGGTATATTTTGCGTAAGCATGAAGTTCAGAAATCTTTGGTTCGCATTAGCCGGTGTAGGACATAAGTTATAGTCAAATTAGCTTTCCAACGATACCCACATTGTCTATATCGGGTAGGTGGATCCGGGTCTAGTCGCGGTCTTGAACCCGGACTTTCGGGTCAAAAATCTGGTGTCCCAGGTTCGTCCCCCAAGAAAAAAATAGTTTCCCGAGATCATGGTTAAAATACCTACCACTGAAAAAAATTTCGAAAAAATTGAAGAGTTTTTACTAAACTAGAGTTAAGCCAAAAAAAGAATATTTCCGTAGCCCTATTTTTTATGGAGGAGGTTCGTAATGTGCCACGGAGGCATTTAAGAGATGCTTCGAATTTATTTGAAGTACCTAACAACCAGTAAGTATGATTGTATTTTTACATTTTTGAAATAATAAAAAATGATTTTTTCTAGGTTTGTGGCCAACTTTCGTGTGTCGAAGAAAGTTTTCGGGCTCTTTTGGATATGATGGAAGAGAAGTGGGTGCCTGGTTGCAGAACTACCCAAACCCGCCCCGATTTAAAACTTCTTCTGCTGCTTCCAAAAATTGGCATTCCTCTGGCGAACACAGGATTCTCCTCCATTTACTCAACTAGTGCCCGCAGCTGTTTTTTTTTCGTGCTGGAATTGAGAAAATAAAAAAATATATATTGGTTATTCACATATTAAATTGCATTTATTATTTTTACTTACATTTTTGTTTCCATTTTCAATCAAGCAATGTTTATGTTAAAACAATTTTCCTTAATTGTTATTATACGATAGCAAACACACAAGTGACTGATTTTGACATTTGTGTTCGCATGCGTACGAAAGAAAAAAGATAGTGGAACGCAAAATTACACTGAAATGCTTACGTTTTCGTTCTGATAGATTTTAGTGGAACGGAAATCACCTGTTTGTCGTGTAAAAGTTGTGCGAACGTGTTCTTTTGATATCGTGGAACTGGCTGTAAGAAGAACGATCATATCCTTTAAGATATAAATATATTAAAATTAAACGCTTGAGGAAGATTTGTTCGGTTTTTTGAATTTAATTTGAATATTTTCTGAACAATTTTTTTGTTATTGAAAATAAAACACATACATAAACAAATAAAGATGACATATTAAGCCAAGGAAATAAAAAAATAAAAATCATATGGTATCATAGCCCTACCTTGATATCATTGTACCATGTTTGGTCATATAATTCTGAATTTCTTTTCAAAAGACAAAGTGGTCTTGACATCCTCCTGCCTTTTTTACGCCATTTTTTATTTTTTATTTTTTTATTGTTTGAAGTCAATGCACCACTGTCAATTTATTTTCGTGCGAACAACCCTTGCATTTAATAACTGACCACAAATACCAACTATCAATACAAATGAATACATTTAGCGATTAGTTGGTAGCCAGATCATTCGGTTTTTTCATTCCTAACTTAATTTGACGGCTCGACATTTTTTGTTTGTTGTGTCTTTAATTAATTAATTAATTAAGCGATAAAGGTGAACTTTTCTTGCTATCCAAACACACGAAGTGGACAAGTAAACCGCAATGACCACTTCCATTGTTGAAGTTATACAACATTATCAGCGTAGCATTGATAACAGCCAAGACAATGAGGCCAGGGTAAGTTGTCGCAGCAGAAATTCACAACTTAAAAAAAGTTGTCTCTTCCGAAAGATTCCATGCCATATGATGGAAACGTATGCAGAAATTTTGTTGGAGGCCTTCTTGGCATTGGGCGAAAACCAAATAGAAAAAATTCATGAAACGGCAAATGCATTGTGAAATTGTAACAATTTTGACAGATGTATGGCGTCTATTTTTATTCCAGTATATATCTATTTCCGATTTCATTGATCCGGGGAAAATCCAAAAGAAATGCATTAAAGTAAGGTGTCACTGCGTACGCCGTCAAAAGAAAAACAAAAACAAGAAAAAGGGAAAACTCAAATGGACCTAAAGAATTGCAACAACAGCAAGAAGGAAAGCGAAAGCAACGATTACAACAACAACCCACAATGTCCCAAGAAACTAACAGATGTTTTTATTTACGCTCATATTGTTGTTGTTTGTTTGTGTTTGCTTTGTGATTGTTGTTGTAGAGAACGCATCATTTGATTTTCCTAGTGTGCGAAGAAAGTATGTTTAGTTTTGAATATATAATACTTGAAAGTGGATTAAAATTAGGACATAGTCCTCTGGGAGCAAGGCTAATTATTTGAAGAAAATAACGTTTTACAATCAACTTGTTTTGCTTGTCAAAAGAGTTATAAGCTCCAATTCTTCAAAAAGATGTATTCTGCTTACATATTATTTAAACCTTTGGATCAAGTAGCTAAGTAGATTGATTGAGCTAAATTTTTCCACAAAAATATGTATAAATTGTCGATAACGTTCCTTATATAAATAATCGCATAGTTTGTCAATAATCTTTTCTAATTGATTCACTATATTTTGTGCTAATTTAGCAAGTTCCCGCAGATATTCTTAATTCATGGATTCAGTTATACATTAAACATCATTTTTCACATACTTCTGGATAGTAGATCAGTAGTGCGATTCTGTACTCAGTTAAGGACAGAATGAACAAAAAGTATCGATAACAGCAAATTTAAATTTGTTAATAACTCCAGTAATTATAGAAAACTAGCTGGCCCGGTCCGCGTTGCCGGTCCGTAGTTTTTGTCTATTATGCATATATGTCAAAACATAATTATTCACAGATATAACTGACATAAATGTTCACGTACTGGTCGATTAAAAGTGTTTTAAAATGCCTGTACCCATATTTAAGCCGTGGGCTTCAATATTTAAACCGTGTGCTTCAAATGTGTGGATGTGCTATACAAACCTATCAAAAATTATATATCAATCTTATCCCCATGTAAGGGATCAAATTAATTTTTAGAATGTTAAAAATCGTAGCAAAATTTTCCAGTCAAATGAGCAGTAATTTGGAGTTTACTGCAATTTGTACACCTCATAATTGAGGGCTGAATGGTTTAAGCCAAAGTTAATTACTTTTTTAAACCCATTAGCACCTTAGATTGTGCATTAGAGTGCACATAAGTCCCCCTAACTATGTCGTTCTGTTTGTCCGCCAAAAGGTGGACTTGAAGGGGTACTATTACATGGAGAAAATTCTAAAAGTTGTACATATGTTGAAATTGTTGTGTAAGATCTTCAGCCCCGAAATACACATTTTTAGCCAAATCGTTTGAAATATGGTAAAATCAGGTGGTACCTTTATATGGGCACTACTCCGAAACATCGACCTTTCTTCTACCCCTTATAATCTAAGATGACAAATAGAGGATGACAATATGGCAGAAAAAAATAACATGTCAAACTGAAAAAATCAAACTGAAAAATCGCGTGATTTAAATAAGTAAGAATAGTTTTATCCCCCTCATAGTTAAATATAATTACTATTTTACACCCATTACCGTAAGATGGAAATTAATTTCATTTGCCATTTAAATTGGAAGTTGGAGATCCCATAAAGTCCGTATTTTTCATCATAGTATAATTTAATGACGATTCAACAAATATTCGGTACCGTGCTACTTTTTTATATTTGCAATTTGTTCATGTTTCCACAATTTATTTCATATAGATGTACATACCTAATCTACGTTCCCAACCAATATTCTCTTGGGGGTTACAATTCAATAGAATACAAAATTTTCTTTTCTGACCACGCATTAGATGTGAAAGTGGACTATCCCCAAGTCCAATGTAGGGACTTTTCTTAAATAAATTCCTATGTGGCAATTATCTGTATGATAGTTCCCTACACCAGGGTAGCATAAATACAATTTTTTAGCCAAATCAATTGATTAATGTGATCAAGGCCAATATGGGCCCTTTTCTGAAAATTTCATATTTTATGCGAAGATTATATCTATCCCCTTGGAAACAAAGATGCCAAATAAGAGCCAAAAAATTAAAAAAAGTGGCCAGCAAAAATAGCTTAAATCATACGATGGTTATATACATATGAAATCGGATTGTACCCTTATCCGTGAGTTATGATCGATATCATGCGATACCTGCAAAAGCGATTTAAGGTATCTTGAATGTTTGGGAAGAGTTTCTGGAAGGATAGAAATCCTTTTCTTACCAAAATCCCATTCGCTCTACTATTTTACACCCTTCATATTTGCTGTTTTACTGATTGTACTCCCAAAGAATTTTGCATATTGAGCTCTCATTGAAATGAGCTCCATTAGACTTTTTCGGTCATTTTTGTGTGTTAAAATGTGTTCGCCTCTTCCAGCTAAACCACGATATAGGCCCTGGAGTTGAAAGGTAGATGTCAGTTAACATCGTATTTCGCACTTATTTCATTTTTTGGTGAAAATTTTTTTATTTTGTTCGCAAAGAATCCCCTGAACGCAATATGAATAACAAATTAAAAAAAATAGACAAAAGAAGAATTACAAAATCAAACAAAAAAAAATCTTCAACTTGTTCGCTGATTTTTTACAGCTAATGTTTAAAGATCCTAACAAAGTTTGTCAATAGAATGTACTATTATTTTAAAATTCCATTCCATTGAATTTTTTTTTTCGATTTTTTCCCCATTTGAGAATTTTTGCAAAGAGATCTCTTTTTCGTGATTTTTTAGCGATTTTGAAAAAGTAATTATCTTTTAACTTTGGTGTGACCGCGTTAAATTATTTCGATATCATTTATCTGTTGCGCCACCACATAATTCGGTACCACACTTCCATGTAACCCGCCATCAATTTCAGTTCTCAAGAAATCAAGTCAAATAAATTGGTATTAATATTCGAATTCAAAAATAAAATAAAAAAAAACTCTACAAATGTACATTAGAAAAAAGTAAACCCAAATGGAAAAAATCATGCAAAATAAAACATTACTATTGTACATTTCAAAAGTCAAAATGAAAATGTTAAAATATCACATTTTTACGCTATTTTTTATACCCTACAACACTATGTGTTGGGGGTATTATAAGTTTGATTCGGCCAGAATTTATGTAACACCTCGAAATATCGGTTTCCCATATAGGAAAGTATATATGGATCTTCCTAGCTCGCCGAGCTGAGTCGATCTAGCTATGTATGTCCGTCCGTCCGTCTGTCCATGTTAATTTGTAATCACTCTACAGGTCGCAATTATGGTCCGATCTTCACGAAATTTAAAATGGAGGTGGGGCTAGAGTCAGAATAGAACTCTATTTCTTTTGGAGATGATCGCGTAATATTTAGGAGTCGAAATGGACCAAATACTGAAAAAATATAGGATTTTGCAGTAGCTATACAGGTCGCAATTATAGACCAATCGACGCGGAATTTCGCATGTAGCTAGAGTTTAGGGCGGGGAAGAAGCCTACCAATTAGGGTGGTCATCGGATAATATTTAGCGGGTAAAATAGACCATATATTTTGTGTTGAAAACATTCAACATTTTTCATTGAACCGCGAATATTTTAAATCCCGGCGAAATCACGAAGCCATGACAAGGTTACTTCTGACCTCTACATTGATGGTAACATCCAACAAATCGGATATATAGCAAAATATGTGCGATATATATGTCTATCAAAGAAGATATGCTTGAAAGATCTCTTATATGTCGAGAACGGCTGAACTGATTTCGACAGTTCTCATTAATTCAGAATGGCCTCTTGGCAGGAAAGAAAAAACGTCTAAAATAATCGCATAAAAATATCTCTCTGAAGATGAAAATATTGATTTTGTAATATTTTCTCATATTTTTTCAATTTTGTCATATTTTTGGCATATTTTCATTTTGAATTAAACATTTGGTAATATCTCTACAGCTAACAAAACTAAGTAGTTAGGATATCAGGATATCATATACAGATCGCATTTATGGCCCGATCCTAACGAAATTTTGCATGGGGATCAGATGAGGGTCAGAATAGAAGCCTACTCTTTTTGGAGATGATCGCCATATATTTAGGGGTTGAAATGGACCAAAAAATTGCAAAATTGTCAGCAGGTCGTAATTATTGCCCAATCCTCACACACATTTGAATGGGGGTTACGGGCATTGCAAAAAACCAAGCAGTTTTGGATGGCCATCCAAAAATATTCAATGTGTGAAATAGTTTGCCAACTTTTGTAGACGAAATACAAAAATATCCATTCCTGTGACTTTTTGGAGAATTTACAAATCGTTAACGCTGATTTCGTTGAAGAATATAGTCAAATGTCTATATCTCATATAGATGCGTTTCAGTCAAAAACCAATAATAAATGTTAATCTTTTGCCACTTCTGAGAGATTATAGGTCTTTGGGAAATATTGGTTCCAGATCTAGGAAGACCATTTACGTGCAACATCTACCAATAAATTGGAAATGAGCAAATTAGTTTAAGTTGCTATTATTCGAAAATTAGAGAACGAAACCTGATGGTTTTCTTTTATTATTTGTCACAATATCTTGTGGAATTCTTTCGAATATCTCGCCTATATAAACTGTATCATTTATTATAGTGTTGTAGGGTATTCAACGGTCGGCCCCGCTCGACTGTAGCCTTTGCTTACTTGTTTTGTATATTATCCTCAGTCCAGCGGTTCTTAAGTTATAAGCGTAGTAACTAACACAACTTTCTTTTATATATATAGATAAAGTAGTTGCTGAAACTCTTCTATATAATCATTTTACAAGAAAATGTACCGTTTGAAATAAAAGGCACGCCTAATTTTCATTGACTTTAGATTTGTAATATTTTTGTTCGCATAGCCAATTTGATATGAGAAGAGATTTGGTTGTAATCAATCGTTTTCTTTGTTGAATTAAAGATTTTGTGGCTAAGTTGAACTCGTTTCATTTTAGAGCCTATATCTAATTGTCGTAGGAATGTAAATTCTTATGGTTGAGCAGTGCAGTGTATAAAATGTATAGGAGTAGCAGTTAAATTTGGAACTCCCGCGGTAGAACTTCTTAAGCTGTATATACCGCCTAAGAACTTCCAGTAAGATTGATACTGTTATCTCCATACACAAACTAAACAAAGTCATTATCTAAATGAAATTTGAATTGTCATGTGCAATAAGCTTGTTGTAATTCGTAATGTAACTTATTTATTTAATTGGCAATTCTGGATATCTGAAATGTTAGCATTTAAATTTATATTTATTTCTATTCATTTTCAATTTGTACAGTAACCTAGTTCATAAGGCCATGGACGGTTCCAAAAACTTCTATACATGACTACTCTAAAAAAAAACCTTATCAAAAGTTTATTAGAGAATTCTTCCAACCGCTATTTCTTCATTCTCCATTAACAAAAGCTTTATTATACCAATTTAAAGAGCAATTCCAGTTTAAATATGCTAACAGGGACACATAGCGCAACAATAGCTCTCTATTCGAATGGAACGCTAATTCCCACATAATGAATCTAATATCTCAAATAATTTCAATTTCGACAAAAAGTGTTAAGATTTGTGTCTAATTTGCAAGTGCCTCCTCCTCCTTCGATTCCACTCAACTGTTACAATAAAAACGTAACGTGTGTTTTACCAGACCCTTAATTTATTCCCGTAAATCTACGTTAAATGGATCTTGTGGGAGGAAATTGTTTTTACACATACCCATATCCAATTCTATGCACCCATTGTATTTTCAAAATTTTTCTAATAATGTCTTCAGAAGAGGACTCCCGATTCGATTCAAAATGTTACAACCACAGGACATACATTTCATTAAGTTTAGCAATAAAAGCTCTTTCTACTGATCTAAGGGGTTTTAATTTATATATTTAAAATAGAAATTAAGGAAGAAAGTAGAAAGATATAATGAGGTAGACCAAGACGAACAAAATCGAGCCTGTTGTACAGGTCAGAATATATACCGTAAAGCAATATTTTACTCGAATATCAACAGATGGGAGAGAAAATATTAAAAAGGCGTAAAATATATCATAGTATGTCGTATAAATCTACCAGAGCGATGTCAAAATATACGATTTTAATATTTACGTACGGTTCAGTAGTATTCAAAGCCATTCTTTTTTTTATAACTGCGGTCGTCGAGCAAAAGTTTTTTTTTAACGAGCATATGTATGTAGATCAGCATTTTGATATATTACTACCAAATATTAGTCATATTCTGTAGAACATTTCAAAATTATCTTAACTTATTTCTCTTTTACTTTCTCATTTCCCAGCTACTTCACTGTATAAATAAACTTTACAAATTACCAATAAAAGTTGAACATCTGCAAGAAACGGGTGTTGGAAAGACAGTCAATTCGCTTCGAAAGTTTAATGGCGAAATTGGTGTGGCAGCTAAAAGCTTAGTAACAAAATGGAAGGCTATGGTAGCAGCCGAAGAGGAGCCTATGGACACAACATCCCAGTCATATGAAAATGAGACGCAACACAACAATGACAACGATGAGCCGGATCCATCGCCAAACAATAACATTATGAATGTGGATGAAGATGAGAATAGAAATCATCATAGCAGCAGCAGCAGACATTCAAATCATTCTGAAAAGGAAAGACATAAAGATCAAAGTCATAGTAGCAGCAGTAGTAACAATACACAACACAAGGAATCTTCTAAACACTCGTCTTCTTCCAAACACACTAGTGAACATAAGTCGTCCTCATCTTCATCGAGCCGGGATAAAGAAAGTCATCACAAAAGTAGCAGTAAAGATAAAGAAAAACACGAACACAAATCTAGAGATAAACACAAGGATAAACACCATGAAAAGGATAGGGAACATAGTGAGAAACGCAAGGAGGATAAACATAAATCAGACAAAGAAAGCAAAAATGAAGAAAAAAACAATCATAAATCCTTCTCCAAGGAAAGAGATAACAGTGAAAGGGAGAAGCCTAAAGAACGATCTGAAAAACACCATAAAAGTTCATCCAGGGATAAACACAAGGAAAAGGATAAAAACCATGAAAAGACTAAAGAGGAGAAACCATCATCCTCATCGAAAGACAAACATAATTCACCTCCAAATGCCACCAAAGAATCATCGGAAAACAGAAAACGCCACAATTCAGATACAGAGTCAAGTGATTTTAAATCACCTTTGCCCAAAATTGCCAAAACATCACAACACAAGAGCTCCGGCAAAGTGGTTGAATCTGTTTCGCCACCTCAAGATGCCGAAGATGATGACGATGGTTTTGATTCAACAATGGGCACTAATTTTGATGACATATTGGGCATGTTGGATAAACCGGTTAAGAAAGGCAAAAAATCTAAAACGTCGTCATCAGTTGGCAGCAGTAGCAGCGGTGGCGGTAGTTCCAAAGAATCTCCTCCCAAACCATCAACAAGTAATCCGCGTAAAAATGGTATTACCAGCACGCCTGCATCGTACAGTCCAATGTCAACACCAACACCTTCAAAACTACCAACAGCGGTAAGAAGTGTACATGAAAACAATTTACCCACCGTTTTTATCTCCATTCCCTTTTATGTAGAAGCCAGATCTTTTGGCTTCCTCCGCCAAGTTGGCGCCGTTGGATCCAAGCATAGCCTTGGAATTGCCGACAATATCAACAAATTACAGACCCATGCCATTGAATCAAACTGTAATGGATTGTGTATTTAATACCTCGTCGAGTTCTTCGTCTAGATCAGCACCTGTGCGCACGTTAAGTGATGCCGAAGCCTTACAGCATGGAATTTCCTCAAAGACCATAAGGTTTGATTTGAACATTTTGAATTTGAAATCTCTCCTAAAACCCAGTATTTTTACACATATAGAACAAAAATCTATTCTGGTACAAAAACTGGTCAAATATATCAAGTGCCCACGTTGTTTGACATGTGTATAAGAATTTTACAAAAGAATATCGATGGTAATTCGAATTTTGCTTTTTGTTCTTTATTTGTTTAACAATTAATATTCTTTTTTAGCATTGGAATATACTGGTGGTGTACCATTCGAAGTCTTGCGACCAGTTTTGGAAAGAGCTACACCACAACAGCTGTTCGTATTTGAAGATTATAATCCCTATTTAATGGAGGATAGTGATGTTCTGTGGCAGGTTCATGTATCGCGAAATTATCGCAATCAAAAACGTCTTGAAAATGAATCGTGGAGGGAAATGTTTATGGTAAGTAAATAATTTAAATGTGTGTTAAGAAGAATTATGAAATGCTATGATTAGAAGATAGACTTTAAACTTAATAACTCAGCAATATTTTCCTAAAAGTGGTTGCATGTTGATTTGGAGGAGATTGAACAGCAATACGCAATACATTACTGTTGTGACATACATACAAAATATTTGGCTTGGGTGATTTATGATTTTATTTGGGCAGGCAAAGTAATAAGTTGTTATTAACACCACTTTTGCCCGCCAATTTAGAAGAGATTGCCACACACGTTGTCTGAGCAACCAATAACTTTCATTCGTATGAGTCAATCATCGACAGACCACTAGACTTTATAATCCGAGAACACCGATTGAGAGTGTCGAGGGCTGATTAGGAGTCATAAAGCAAGACAAATTAGAGGTTAAAATAACAAGCGCGTATCATCGGATTTGTCACCGTTCCGTCGATAAACGTGACAAAGGTTCTATCATCCTTTTTCCAGGGCTTGTTACTGTTACCTAGATTTTACTCATATAGGTTTCAATGTTGCAACACTTTAGATGGCCTAGACACATTTTTCAGCTTTGCTTGAGTACCTTCACTGTCAGCAGAGTTGAAACGGCGGAGCTCATCACGCTAATTTGCTAGACCCCTGGAATATATGGTCTTACTTCAGATATTGGATCAGCTGGTATATATCCAGCGACTGCTGGTATTCACTAACGATTAGTGAACTCTCTGAATTTCTGCCATTTACCTTTCTTATGATTAAGGAGAGAGCGCCATTGAGAGATTATGAAATCGGATAATTGGGAGATGGTTATAGAGACGAGTATTGGATTTCCTCATTTACAATGCCTAATGTAGAGCATTAAGATCAAAAATATTTCTATAAAATGTTATGTCTAGTTGCCGTTTACAATGACATTACTAAATGAACCAAGAAATCATTAAAAACAACAAATTTTCTTTCTCTTAATTTTCTCCGTAGCGTTGCCAAGAAGACGAGGAAAGACGTTTAAGTTTTCTCAAGGATAGCATTAAACAATCACAAAAAATTGCCGCTGCTCCCGTTCGAAAAACACAATTGGCGTTTGTAGATTCAATGGTGAAGCCACCCAGAAATATTCAACGTAAGCAGGAACAATATGGTACAAAATCTAAAATGGTTGCCACACCAGCTGCCCGTGTAGCTGCACTGCAGAGTGTAACACCAAATGCCGCCAAGACAGGAGATCAACGTTTAAAGGTTCCATCTACGGTTAGAGATCATGCTCAAGTTTGTAAGTATTCAGAAAAGATCAAATAATTTTGAATACTAATCCATACCTTCTTTTTCTTTGCAGCACATTCTTCAGTACGACCCAAAAAGGCCCCACTAATGCAAAAAACATTGGCTTTTATGCGTGGAAGACTTAAACGCTAAGAAAATAAATCTTGGCAAGAAAACATTAAATTAATTTAGATATAGTTATTTAAAGAGAATTACTAAATTATTAGAAAACAAAAACATAAAAGTGATAGTCCTCTTTTAGTTGGCTCAAACAACAAAAATACTTTATTTCTTCATTGCCTCATTTATTTTGAAAAGAAAAACTTTCCTATTTAGCTTATAGTTTAAGGGTATATTGTTTATATTATTATCTACTCTTTCATGTCTACTTTCTTTCCTTTCCCATCTTTCGTACAGTGGTTTCTAACTGCCTCTCCTATTTGCATCCTATGTTTAAAAACATAAATTCATTATTTATTATTTTGTTTCATGCAAACAGAAAATAGTGACCTTAAAGAATCCCACAACAATAATCACATCACACATAAAAACAATATAAATACTGCGTACGTATAAGTAAAAAATAAATTGTTTTTTTTTTATTATTTTTTTGTGAATAACAAACCCCCATCTCAATTTCTAAAAAAAAAACATAATTGCAGCTCGTTTGTCTCAAAGGAATTTAAAATTATTTCATGTCTTTTTTTACTTAGTTGTAGGTTTTTCTTTCTTTTTCGAAATTGTATTAATGTTCCATCAAAATTTGCCAATTCTTATTTCTCCCTTCTTATGTCCATGTTTTACAATAGAAAAAAGTTATGAACATATTTTAAATACAATAAAAATAATAACTATAAAAGCAAATATTTATTACTCAGTTTAATATTATTGTGTTGTAAAGCTGGTGAGATCTGGGCAAACGTTGACTTGAAAGAACAAACATTAGAAGTGTCAGTTAAGGTGTTAGACGATCTATGGTTGAAACAAATACGTGAGACCTAATTGAAATTTATTTTAAGGGTGATAGTTTAAACACGTCTTGATATTACAGAGATGCAAACACACAATTCGTTTTATGAGCAATATAAGTTGGGTCCTGTCGGAAAAGTATAAAACAGTCAAAAAAAAATTGCCAAATTATCCATAATACTACAGGGTGAGATAAAAAACTGCAACAAAGTCAAACGCCATAATTTTTACATTTTTTTTTAATTTTATTGAATGAAAGCCAAAAATTTCGGATATTGCATCAAATTTTAGAATAAGTTTAGATTTGTTCGAATTATGGGCTTCAAACGGCCAGTGAAACCGTCACACGCTGCCCGAATGTTACTCTGCGGTATTTTTTGGCCCATTCCCGGCGAAACGCTTGCTTGAGGTGTTCGACATTTGGCATTTTTTGTGCCAATCTTGCTTTCCAAAATACCCCAAACACAATAGTCTGACAGATCGATATCCGGAGGTCTTGGTGGCCATTGTACGCTGGAAATGAAGCGAGGAACCTCATTTTGTAACTATTCTTGGTTGGCGCGTGCTAAGTGCGATGGCGCTGGTTCCTGTTGGACTGTCCAAGGTCTGTGGCCAAAATTTTTGCATGCCCAAGGCTTTACTACACCCTCCAGAATATTTTCGCTATAAATCGGCATTTATTCTGATGCCACGGTCGATTAATGCGAGCGGAGAGCGAACATCGGCTGTTATGGCGGCCCACACCATCACCATGGCCGGCGCTTGAGTTCTGGTGGCCAACCGAAGGTGCACATTTTCAGCTGACCTCTTTGGCAAGTAAACACGATCATTTCGTTTGTTTACAAACTGCTGAACAACGAATGTTTTCTCATCGGAGAAAATCAAATTCGGCAGTTCACCACTTTCAGCAAAGCGAAGCATCTCTTTAGCTCTTTTGAGTCTATTTTCTTTCTTTTGCGGTGTAAGTTCTTGCACTTTTTGGAATTTCATTGGCTTTACCCCGAGCTCATTTTTGAATATTTGCCGAATGGAATATTTAGCTCACGAGCCATTTTTCGGCCACTGCGACGCGGTTTTCGATCAAGTCGCTTCTTTACTTTTCGAACCATTTATGTTGATGTTGCTGTTTTCTTCCGTTCACTTCCTTGACGTCGGGCCACGCTACCAGTATCACGGTAACGAGCGAAATTTATTCACATTTAAACGCTGGAGTGCTCTAACGATAGCCACTTGTGGTTTTCAAGCCAAATATAAAGAAATGACACTATCACGAATAACCTTTTTTCTGGAAAATTCTCACCAAACTGCTTTTGTACGCTTATAAATAACATAATGAGCTGTCAGTAGAAAAATTTTAACAGCTTAGAAATAACAGCAGTCTGAAATTGGTTGCAGTTTTTTCATCTCGCCCTGTATATATATAATAGAGTAGTGAAATAACTGACTGGCGGAGAATCAACACCCAGTAACGCGCATGACTTATACAGTCTTATATAGTTACGCGTCCTAAGTCCTTTATAGGATACTACCAACGGGATCTCACATCAGTACTTTTGTTGACTGTGAGTTCTAAAAGTTCCGCTTGTTTATTTAACTTTAAAGCGACTGCCACTCCTCAAGCTTCTTATGTGAATAAATTGTCAATCCTTGCAAAAACATTTGTGCATATTTCTGAGTCTAAATGTGATCTGTGTGAAGATGTCAAAGTTCCAAAGTTTTTCATTTTTTGCACGGAATAATCGCCGGACGTCTACATTGTATATCAATGTATATCTTGAATTTTGAAAATTCAAATCATACGAAGATTTCGAACCGGGATCTTGTAAACACTAAGGTATTATGAGTAAATGATAAGGTAAGTATGCAATATCAAAATTGAAAGGCAATCCCCTGAATCCATTCCAATGTTTATTAAATGAATTGCTATCTCCAATACTTGAAAGACTGTAACGTTCTATACTGTACATTGAAAACGAAATAAAGGTTAATAATTTTTAATGTGATTCCTATTATTATTTCTTTCTAAAAATTATTAAAATTAATCTTATACACATCTAAATAATATCATTTAAAATAATCTTACATTGTCAAATTGGGATGGACAGTCTTATAATACAAAAAAACGCTCACACAAACATTTTAACAACCTAAACAAGAAATACTTTCATTATTGCTGAAAAATATTTTCACCAAACGCTGACAACTTGTGGGCAAAGCAACAATGCGATTCAATGTGGCCGATGAAGATGATGACGATGAACTACTTTCACTGAAAATAAACCAAAAAATTAACTATTTTTACACACACAAGTAAAAAACTCCAACATACCTCATTGCCGACAACTTCTTGACATCCCATATTCTTAGGCTGCCATCCCGACTACCCGATGCTATGTAACGGCCATTTGAACTCCACACAATGTTTGTAACAGTGGCCGTGTGATCTTTCAGCTCATTTAATTGTGAGCCAGCTGCTAAATCAAAAATGCGGATTTTTGATTCTTCCCCACCAGCTGCCAGCATTTTACCATCTGGACTAAAAATTAAACTGCTGACAGGCTGCTTGCAATCAGAAAATACGCGCATTAATTTGCCGCTGGTAACACACCACAGACGTACTGAAAAATCAGCTGAACCCGTGGCAATGTAATTTCCATTGGGATGAAAAGCCAGACACTATCAAGAATAAAATTAATCATGGATCTCAAAAAAATCTGTTTATTATATCTAACCTCAACATCTTGGGTATGACCAGCATAGGTTATTAAAGGAAAATCCCGTTCAAGTGACCACAATCGGGCAGTTAAATCCTTTGAACCCGTTGCCACATACATACCAACTGGGCTCTCATCCATACACCAAATGGGATAACGATGCCCCCGATAAATAGCTGCAGTTTGAAGATTTTCAGAACGCCAACAACGCATTGTGTTATCTTTGGAAACACTATAAATCAAAGGATAATGATGGGAAAAACGAACATCTGTCACTCCCGCTCCATGACCACGCAGGCTAACACCTCCAAAGGCATTACTAAATAGTTCAGAAATAATATTTTTACATTGAACGCTAATATAAATACTTTGAAAACTTACTAAGAGTTATCTTCATATTTCTTTTCATAGTATTTATCTTTTACATATTCCATTTGTAAATCTTTGCTTTGATGCAGCTCCTTTATAGACTTTTCCATTTCGTCTTCATTTTCTTTACAGAAATTATTTAAATCCCAACGACAATGTTTTGATAAATTACGTCCATAAAGATTTTTGCCTTGGGTAAAATGTTGATTCATTTGCCACAATTGTATGACGGAATTGTCAAAACCCGCCACCAGGTGGCATTCCAAAGGATCCAAACTGGCAGAAGTTAAACTAAATAAAACGTTAATAATGAGACAAATTTAATATAATATGGTCAACAATGTGATAAATCACTCAACGAATTAATAGGTTTGCATAAAGTTCATCCTACAGTAATGAATACTGTATATGTCCTATTCTCCTGTAATTGTTTAACTTCCTGAAAGATATGACTGTGTTTTATTGGATTTCATTTACAATGTCACTTCGATGAAAAACAAGACTTCTCCAATTGAAATCCAATCATAATCTACAATACACCGTCTGGTATCTTCTCTTTTCATTCATAAAATTTTTATTCTTAAAAATAAAAAAGTTTCTTTAAGAAAAATATCCCCGGAAGTTTTTTGAAATTAATTATGAAGAAACCAAGACCCCATTTTCAAAAACCAATTGTTTCTGATATCTTTTTACTACAACTTACCCTTGATTTTTGTCAGCAATCTTAACGACTCGCGGATATTCTAGGGGATTTTTAAAAATTTGTTCGCGACTCTCTTTAATTGTCTTCAGACAATCCTTGACATTGTAACCGCTAACTTTGCTATCGTTGGCATCCATTTCCGTTTTGATTTGTACATCAGCTGGTTCCTCGGCTGATCTTTTATTTGAACTTCTTTCACTAGACGAAGAAGAATGAGATTTTGTTTTAACCACTGGAATTTCACTATCATCTTCATCATCCTGTTGCATTTCATCGGCCGGCATAAAGATGGTATCTTCAGACAATTGCCGAACCTCATTGTCGATAATGTGAATATGTATCCAGTTGTAGATAAGATTTAATATTAAAACATGACCACGTTTTTCCAAAAAGGTTTTCAAAGCATTTATGACAGCCTCATTTGTGTGTATTTCATATTTGGATGATCTATACTGGACAACTTCAGGATCTTGTTCTAGTGTCTCTAGTTTTTGGCAGGCTGATATTTTTTGTATTAATTTCATAAAGAATTCCAATTCGGGATCATCTTCGGCAAAAGATTCTCGTGTGTAGCGTATGTTCAAATGTTGCCAAGCTGAGTCGGATATATTCAAATCAGCTGATGGCACTGAACAGCCATTTATTTTTGTGGGAAAAGGAGCCTCGTATGTGTCAACAGGCGCCACTAAATGGGAATATTTGCGCAGAAAATCTACAGCAGCTTTTGTCTCACGTCCCTTGATCAATTCCAAATATAAGTGGCATAACAATGGGCCATAGAAACGTTTTAGCTCGCAGCGTATGTCTTCTGGTTGGGAGTCCACAAATTGAGAAAATCTATAAAAGGTTAATATGGTCATAAGCAAACTGTATGGCAAAGGGCTCAAATGTTCTCACTTACTTGGCAAATTGTTGATCCACCATGTTATAGTTGTTGGTCAGACACAAAACGTTGGAGTAGACAAAGGAATTGCCTCCATGCAAATCGGCATCAATCATTTTTTGCAAGACAAAATGTTTCTTGTTTTGTAGTAATGCAAAATCCGATTTGCGAAACTTATCAGTGCCCTAAGCAGAAAAAAATAAATAAATAAAATTACTATATTCGAACCACTTGAATAAAAAACATCATTCCCTTCTTACCACAAAACATTTTTGCTTCAGATAGAGACGACCGACAGCCGCCCTTAAAATATCCGTCTTCGATTTTTTTGATTTGTTGCCACTGCAGAGTGGACTTGAAGCGTGGTGGTTGCTTTGAACGCTCATTTAAATGTTTTAAATATTATTCGTTTAGTTGTTTATAATCTATCTGGCCACTAGATCTGATCTTCTGTTTAGGAGGCGAGTTGTACATCTGCTTCTGGGCGCGTAGGAATTGAGAAATGCAAAAAAGGAAAATAAAAAATAAAGAGAAAGCAAAATCCCCGAAAGCCTCTGTTGTTTACGAATGAGAAATGAGGAAAAAGAAATCAGGTGGAAACATTCATTTAATGACAGCGGAACTAGTTGCCAGCGATAAAATTTTGTATGTCCACAGAGATGTTTAAATTTGGCACTTTTAGATATTGCTGATGTTGCCAGATTATAAATGTTTATACCCTCCACCATAGTACGAAGGAATTTATCATTCCGTTCGTAACACCTGAAAATATCCATTTTAGACCTCAAAAGATTATATTTTTTATCAACACAAAATGTTATGATAATATAGCCATGTCCACTTACTCTAGTTTCTGAAAGAAATCAAGGAGGTTGATAGGTTCGATTTTATTGAGATGTATTCATGGTAAAATTAAGAAGGTAAAGTCATTTCAAATAAGCATTTCCATCTTTGCATTTTCTATAATTTACCTTGTCAAATTTCACCGCATAGATAATTTTGAAAAAAATGTAAACATATGATGCATTAATTTTAACATGGATGCCTTTTAGGGATAGTAGAATTTTTGGTATTGATTGGCTGTAATTTGACAGTTTGAGTTCCCAGTAAGTAAAAATATCGTTGCAGAGCACTGTCAATATAGTTCCAATTTCGGTATAGTCTCCATATAACTAGACATCTAGAAATTCGGTATTTTGATGATAGTGGCAACATTTTTCAACGGAACTCAAAATTGGTATTTGGAGCACGCAATAGGTACTCCCTTCTCTTGCAGATATTCAGATTCACGTTTTCATATAGTCCCGATATAACTGTATCTGACAATATTTAGCATTTTAATGATTTGCCATATTTTTCTATGGAATTGTATCATGTTTGGTATTTGAGTCCGTAATGGTTACCATTTGCTTTGATATAATATTAAGGTGAGAGTACATAAATGGTATATCATAAAGAAATGCTAGAGCCGCACTCATATTCTGCCGTCGTCCCCCTTTATAATCTGACATTTATATGCCTAGCCATGATGCCAACCTTCTTATGTACCCCCACCTTTACCAATACAGGTCAACATCTTCGTATATCCCCTATATAATGGTGCCTTCTGATATTTGCCAATTTTAGTCACGTCAAAGGCCATAATACATAAAACGCTTTTTTGATTGGCTTAAGTCATCTGCTGGCTTCTTCGAAAAGAAAAAGAAGCTCAAGGCTCACTTAATTCAATTTCGGCCCATAATTTATACTTGTTAACCCTACGCTTCTTTGTTCTTTTATATAGAATCAGCAGATAACTTAAGTCAGCCAAAAAGCGTTTCATGTATTCTCACCTTAAGAGCTTTTTACTGGCTTAAGACATCGGCTGGGTTCATCGTAAACGAACAAAGAAGTGTAGGGTGAGCAAGAATACATTATGGACTGAAATTGAACAAAGTAAACCTTAAACTCACTTTCTCTTTTATGAAGAAGCCAGCCGATAACTTAGCCAGTCAAAAAAAGTATTTTACATGTCGCCACCTTAAGGCATGTAAAACTTGATTATGGAATGGTTGAATTTTGCCATGGTAGAAGTAATAGGTAGACGCATCGACACAGCTGTTGGGACAATGAACTGTCAAACCAATTTTGGAATTGAAAATGTATTTAAATTTGTAAAAATTGTTGAAAAACGCGAATTATAATAGCCTAAGAATGACGTAGTATAAGAAAACATATGAAGATCTACTTATATTTGAAAACACATTTGAATTTTTTTGACATATCAATGCTCCCAAGCGTTGTTGCATCAACCTGTATTCTTCTGCCATGAATTTTGCTTCAAACCATCATTTTGCGGCAGCTAGGACAAGTATGAAGATCGAAAATATATCGGCTTATTTTGCTACAATATTGGTAAAAGATTGAAAACATTAATTTTCAATCGAATCGGCGTAAATTTAATTGCAAGAAATTGTCAGCGTAAGATTTAGCTTTGCTTTAGAATCCATATAGCAGCATGATACACGCATGGTAGAATTAAGAAGGTAAAATAATTCAATCAGTTTTTCAAAATCAGTTAACAAAATTTTCAACATCTTATTGTCAAAATATTTATTTATAATTCCATAGCATGGTAGAAGAATACAGGTAGTCGCATCGACACAGCTGCTGGAACAATGAGTAGTCAAACCAATTTCGAAGTTGAATTTTTGAATAAAAATTTATTCAAATTTTTAAAGATTGTTAAAAATGCTTATCATCCTACCTAAAGCGCTTATGCGTCTGGCTTAAGTCATTGGCTGGCTTCTTCGGAAATGAACAAAGGAGCCTAGGGCCTAAATCGAACTACGTCAACCTAAAACTCCTTTGTTCATCTACGAAGAAGCCAGCCGATGACTTAAGGCTGGAAATACATAAAGCGCATATTTGGCTGGCTTAAGTCATCGGCTGGCTTCTTCGGAAATAAACAAAGGAGCCTAGGGCCAAAATCGAACTAGGTCAACCTAAAATTCCTTTGTTCATTTACGAAGAAGCCAGCCGATGACTTAAGCCAGCCAAATATGCGCTTTATGTATTTCCAGCCCTAAGCCAGCCAAATAAGCGCTTTATGTATTCTCAGCTTAATTGTTTTTGTAGAACAACTTTACAAAATATGAAAAATCTAAATATTAACATGTAATAAGAAAATAAAAGACTATTTCCAACAATTTTAGACAAACGCCATTAGCAACACGTTTAAAGGATTCCGAATCTATCTTTCTATTATATTCATATTTTATTGCTAATTTCCTTTTTATTTATAAAACTTGTAAAATTGGTGGTGCTTCCTTTCTTTTAATTCTTTTAATGGGGGACAAATTGGTTTGTTTTGACAAAACAGCTGACTAGTTGCAAGCTTCTGTAGAAATACCGTCTGTTTACTTTTCGCTTTTTCTTACAAAAGAGAATAAAACTATCTTACTCTCTCAGAAATATGTTGCCGGACAATTCCTGCAGGAAAAGTAACCAGACACACCTAATATTTATGTGTTGGTTAAATACATGTCACATACACGTCAGTTTGTTTTCGGTCCAATACGATTAATCCACAATTTGGGCGGTATACTTCGGAATACATGGTTTTTAGGCCAAAAACTCGAATACTGTGTAAGTTCGGACAAGAAGACTACAATTGGCAATAATAGTTGTGTTCCAGAACCTACAAATTTGTACTAATTACTGCTAATTCTGCTACAACGCGTTCCCGTACTCCAAAAAGAAGAAAAAAATGGCGTTGAGTGGTGCACATTTCTGCTTGTTTTAGCTACATGAATTTGGCCGAAATTGTAAATTTGACATTTAATTGGCAGAGCTAACAAGATTGAAAAATGTATTGATACATTTCAATGTTCGGGCGTGACAACAAATGTAAAGAAAAAAGATAAACTTAAAAACTGAAAAAAACTAATATTTGTCGTGTAAAAAACAAAAAGAGAAAATATGGAGCAACTGATGTATTCACTTTTGGATGATTCCAGGAGTGAAGAGGGCTGCCTGAATGAGGAATCAGATTATTAATTATTATTATAGATTATTAATTTTAACTTATCGTCTTCAATATTCATTTTTTAAATTTTGGCGTCCATTTCAGTAAGGTTTCACCAGTCCGATTTAGACTGTTTACTTTTGGAATTTTGAATTTTGACATTTTATGACATTTCTGCTAATTTTCCGTCTCCTTATTTTTTGAGAACACCTAAATGAGAACGACATTTCGAACTGTTCTCTCTTCTGCTAGTTTTACTACTAAAAAAGTACTGGAACACAACTAATTTGACGATTAAACTATTACTTGTTACACAACTGTAATTGCAAATCACAATTATATATTTTTAGAGCAAACTTAAGGTGAAAGTACATAAACAGCTTGAAGTCTTCGCATGGCATATTTCGTGACACAACATAAAGGGATGTCAGAGCCGCACTCGAATTTGAATTTCCCTTTATAATTTGACATTAATATGCCTAGCCATGATGCCAAGCGGCTTATGTACCCTCACCTTTAGGTAGGCTAACTTGGAAAAAATTGCAAGCATAGAGGTCTAACTGTTTGGCTTGTAATGTCAGAATTACTATCAAAACAATAAAAAAAAACCATACAACTTGTTGCTTTGATTTGAATGTATAATTGAAAACCACGAAAACTGAATGAAAGGTCAACATTTATTTTTAAAATCATGTTCTATATATCTCTTAAGGTTTATTTTGCTGCAAAACTGTAAATGTTGTCAATGTATACGTTGCAATAAGAATTTTGAAATCACCCGAATTTGAATATTTTCTGAACAATTTTTTATTATTGAAAATAAAACACATAAACAAATAAATGTGACATGTTAGGCCAAGGAAATAAAAAAAATTAAAATCATATGGTAGTTATGTCCTACCTTGATTTTATTGTACCATGGTTGTTAGATGGGATCAATTTTTTCAGTGTAAAAAAGAAAAACTAACAATGTTTCAACCCTGCAAGTGTTATGCTACGTAATTTTACAACCAATCCAACACAGCTGTTTGCGTAAATTTTTAGTTTGTTGATTGAATTCATAGCGGTTAGTGTGTTTTTGCCGGAAAACGGAATCTTAGACACGATATTGGCTCAATATTTTCGGAAGTATTAACAGTGATACGAACTATATACCTGTAATAGAAAACATATCCCAGGAGAAATATGCCATACGATAAATATTTAAACGAATTCTGTGATATTATCGATACCTATGGCGGTCGCGATAAGGTAAAGAAGATAATTAAAAACTAATCTACCTATGTACAACGAACGATTATGGGTTGATCTGTTGTTACCACCTCACACAGTTCCATCCCACAACCAAACAACAGTTAATTCACTTTCGATTGTCGTTTGATTGCCGCCATTCACCTTTCGTCGGTCGTTTGCTCGTTGCTATTGCCAACAAACATACAAATCAATTAGATTTAATTGATTCCGTAAAATAATTGCAAAGCTTGTTGGAATCGAAGAAGAGTCGGTCGGTCTGTAGTTGGCCATTTATTGGAATTGAATTGTACTTTCGATGTTTGTTTACATGTAAAAAAGTTTACAGCGCAACAGTGTTTATAGCAGGTGATCAGAGTCAAGTAACTGCATTGTTGGCATTGTCGTCAGCTTTCCGGAATGCCAACATAACCAACCAACCCTCTTCTGTTATGTAGCTGTGGAAGTTGTTAAACTAGTCTAAACTTTTTCCCATTCCTCAATATTGACTGACTTGCCGACTGTGAATGTCACATCTCCAAACCCAACAGGTTTTCTTTTGAATAAAGTGGTCTGTTTTGTTATTGCTGTTGTTGTTTTTTGCTTTGGGTAGTATTTAAAAAACGGAGATTGTAATGCAGTCTTGCTGATTATAGTCTGGCATTGTTGAGATATTGTTATGTGTGACGAGGGAGTACGTTGATTGTGTTTATGACCAAAACAACAAAGCGAACATGAACTACTAACCAAATTCACTAGTTTGCGTGAAGTTTGGACCTTGAATTCGTCATCTTCAGTAATAAAAGGAAAAACTTCAAACTGTTGATTTTGTAAAGAAAATAAGTTAAAAAGCATCTACCGGTTTTGCCGACAAATATATACCCTTAGTCTATGTCAGTTTATTAAAATATATTTTGACAAGCGTTATGATTATTCAAAATGTTGACCCTTTATAGGGGAGGAATGGACCAATTTATCACATCTCCACATTAGATCTTATGTTGGTGGAAATATAAGCGTGTTTTAAGCTTGAAGAGAATCGGATGTCCGATAGTGTAGTGGACCGATATAACGTATCTCCGAACTCGATCTAAGTTTGATAACAATATTACGATGTATCAAGTTTAGATCAAATCGGATAGTCCCATCGTGCACACAACTAGCCAGATAGACGTTCGGACATCCCTAGATCGACGCCAAATGTTTTGAAACGGATTTGGTCCAAAAACCGTTATTTCGTTGAGGCACGATTTGGCTTTCTGTAGCCTTATGGCGGATGGCACAACATTACTCAAGCTAAGTGAGTCAGATTCACGCAATTCTTTGTATTAGATATCCCAAAGAGAATTTTTTGTTACCTTTGCAACTATTGAAGGCTTGGTGGTACCTTGTCATCGCAACTCTAGAAATCTTTAAAGAAATGATTGTGGCTACAATTCTATATGTTGTAACCGGTTGAATTTGCTTTTTCGACTAGTGTCGGCAAATATTCCTTATATGTTTCGAACGAATAAAAGACTAACATTTGTCACGCAATTCCAAGAACTTGTGTGACGATATATCGGACCATTTCTGCTGGTATCCCCCCCCCAAGGGGTTCAAAATTTTTAATAACCAAAAGTCTCATGAAATTTTATATATACCAATATGTTTATTAACGAAAGATCTAATATAATGAATAGATATAACGGAGCACTCCTTCTGGCACCTAAAATTAAATTGGAAAAAATGCTCGATTTTCTTTAAATTTTGCCAATATTTTAATGAGTATTGGATGAAAAGAATACTTTGGTCCACTTTATGTGGTATATGGTGCACATTTGAACATTTTAAAAAAATTATCACATATCTCACATAAAGAGACTTTTATTCTGTTTACTGTATCTTGAATTTAAACAATCTCAAATAATGTTATTTTTAAATGATTAAAATATGTTGTTTTACAAACTAGCCGATGAAGTAGATTCTAAAGCTTGTTTTCAATTTCCCTCTCAATTTGCATTATGATGTGTACGCGGTCCCTACAGGGATGGGAAAGTGAGGCATGTGAACGGTCTATTCAATAAATTGTGTCCTGAAGTTTGATTATGATTTGATTTTTAATGGACAGAATGACGAGCAAACAGTGCAATGTTATCTTTGGTGCGACACAAAATTTAAAAGTTCTGCAAATAGTAGTGTAGAGCAGAATCATTTTAGAAATTTAAGGTAGAATAACCTGGTTAGATTTAGATACTGCATCAAATGTGTATATAAGCCCAAATAGAAGGAAGTCCGTTAAAAAAGCTATATCTTCCATACATGTATTTCATCCGATTTCATTCCATAACAATTATATTGGGAAACAAGTAAGCAAATACTATAGTCGTGTGGGGCAGACCATGTGATACCCTACAACATTACAATATGTTAGAAGCCCTCTTATGTCCAAATCCATTTTGAAGGATTTCGCTTTTAAAATTATGTCATGGAGCACTGCCTAGATATTACCCTTTGCACTTTTACCAGGAACATTTGCCCAATATTTACGCACTCCATCGTTCTCTTAGTTGTTGTGGTTCATTTTACAGCTAAATATAATTCAATGGTACTCCAAAATGCTAGACTTCTTCGCTGTCCTTAACTCTCTTCTCAGGCGTGTCGATTGTCTTCAATTGTGTGATCAGAAAATTTTTTCTGTTTTTGGTTCATTTGGTATTTTTTACACAAAAGTAGTGGTCCATTCTACCCACTGTCATGGTACAATAAGGAGGTAGAACAGCCTCGTAAAACTACAAAAATACAGCTCTGAGGCTATGCCCGCTTCCTGTCAGACTCATTCAAATTTATTGTTTTCACTTTTTTTATATTTTTCCTCATTTTTAAAATGAGTTAAAAAGCGCGAAGAATGAATGAAATGTCTGGATTTTGCTCTCAAAAATATAATCCTAACCATTCAATCATTCAATTTCATGGCTATATTGGTTAATAGCTTTAATGCGCGAGTCGCAATTTATGTGTCTTCCAATCATTGGTTGTGAAAATTTTCTTGAGGATCGGAGGTTAATTGCAATCTGTACACAATAAAACAAACAAGGTGAAAAAATATTACAAAATATACACTTCAATATTATAAGTCAAAATGAAAAAATCACATGCGATAAAAAATATGAAAAAATGTCACAAAATACTACAAAATCTATATATTAACATCATTATTTTTCATCTATTTATCCGATTTTTTAGAATTTATTATTTTATGACAAGAGGGTATTCTGAATTGCCAAATTTTTGAGATATAAGCATTCTAGCTAACATCCCCTTCCTTTGTATATACATATTGTATATATTTCGCTATATATATCCGATATATTTACTATCGGCATTTATGTAACGGTCAGAATTGGCCTGTTCGTCTGTTTGTGATTTCGCCGGGATTGAAAATATTCGCGGTTTAATGCAAAATTTGACTTTTATTTAACACAAATGTTATGGTCTGTTTCTCCCACTAAATATTACCCGATGACCATCCAAATTGGATTGCTAAGTTCCACGTCGATTGGACAGAGCTAGATCGATTCAGCTCGGCGAGATATGATGATCCATATATACTTTCCTATGTGGGAAACTAATATTTTGATGTGTTACATAATTTTTGGCCCAATCAAACTTATAATACCCAACACATTATGTTGTTGGGTTTAAAAAATGTTTTGGAGATCATTTGAGGCTTACATACAATATCTACAATATGTATATATTTCCTTTTAATTTAATGTAAATAATGCACCAACCATGCTACTTTTGTCCAATTAATTTGAATTCTGAATCAAAGGATAAAGTTCGGTTTAGAAAAAATATCTGAGTAGTTTGGCCCAAATTGATGTAAATATAGCTCCCATGTGTTTCATATTTAAACCTGTGGCCCACCGGTTTTTTTGTCCTGTCCTTACTGGTTTTATTATTTTTATATTATTATTTATGTTATATTTATACCCTACAACACTATGTGTTGGGGGTATTATAAGTTTGATTGGGCCAGAATTTATGTAACACCTCGAAATATTGGTTTCCCATATAGGAAAGTATATATGGATCTTCCTAGCTCGCCGAGCTGAGTCGATCTAGCTATGTATGTCCGTCTGTCCAAGTTAATTTGTAATCACTCTACAGGTCGCAATTATGGCCCGATCTTCACGAAATTTAGAATGGAGGTGGGGTTAAGGTCAGAATAGAACCCTATTTCTTTTGAAGATGATGGCATTATATTTAGTGGTTGAAATGGACCAAATACTGAAAAAATGTCGGATTTTGCAGTAGCTATACAGGTCGCAATTATAGACCAATCGACGCGGAATTTCGCATGTAGCTAGAGTTTAGGGCGGGAGGAAGCCTACCAATTTGGGTGGTCATCGGATAATATTTAGCGGGTAAAATAGACCATATCTTTTTTGTTAAAAAAATTCAAAAATTTTCATTAAACCGCGAATATTTTAAATCCCGGCGAAATCACAAAGCCATGACAAGGTTACTTCTGAACTTTACATTGATGTTAACATCCATCAAATCCGATATATAGCAAAATATGTGCGATATATATGTCTATCAAAAAAGATATGCTTGAAAGATCTCATATATGTCGAGAACGGCTGAACTGATTTCGACAGTTCTCATTAATTCAGAATGGCCTCTTGACAGGAAAGAAAAAACGTCTAAAAAATCGCATAAAAATATCCCTCTAATGATTAAAATAGTGATTTTGTAACATTTTTCATATTTTTTCAATTTTGTCATATATTTGCCATATTTTCATTTTGAATGAAACATTTGGCAATACTTCTACAGCTAACAAAACTAAGTAGTTAGGATATCAGGATATCATATATAGATCGCATTCATAGCCCGATCCTTACGAAATTTTGCATGGGGATAAGATGAGGGTCAGAATAGACTACTCTTTTTGGAGATGATCGCCGTATATTTAGGGGTTGAAATGGACCAAAAAAACTGCAAAATTATCAGCTGGTCGTAATTATCGCCCGATCCTTTGAATGGGGGTTACCGGACATTGCAAAAGCCAAGCAGTTTTGGATGGCCATCCAAAAATATTCAATGTGTAAAGGAGTTTGCCAACTTTTGTAGACAAAATACGAAAATGTCCATTCCAGTGACATTTTGGAGAATTCGCAAATACAGGAAAGACGCACTTCTGACTATTTCGTTAACTCTGATTTCGCTTAAGAATATAGTCAAATGTCTGTATCTCATGTAGATGCGTTTCAGTCAAAAACCAATAATATATGTTAATCTTTTGCCATTTCTAAGATATTATAGGTCTTTGGGAAATATTGGTTCCAGATCTAGGAAGACCATTTACCAATAAATTGGAAATGAGCAAGTTAGTTTAAGTTGCTTTTATTCGAAAATTAGAGAATGAAACCTGATGGTTTTCTTTTATTATTTGTCACAATATGCTGTGGAATTCTTTCGAGTATCTCGCCTATATAAACTGTATCATTTATTATAGTGTTGGAGGGTATTCAACGGTCGGCCCCGCTCGACTGTAGCCTTTGCTTACTTGTTTTAAATAGGTTTTAAATGTAGAGTTTATTTAGTGTTATAGGCTACGAAATAGTAAATTAATTAAGTAATCTCAAATTTACACCAAGAACACTAGAAATATTCCGATTACGGTTTTGGATAACAAACACTTTCGATTATTGGACATATCAACTCGTTATTTTATTCAACACAGGCGACAATTGCTGCTAGTCACGCGATTTAATTATTTATTGAATAATTGAAAGAATTTCGTGGGCTTGTATTGACATCGCAAATGTGTTGTTGTTGTCGACCTAAGTGAAGCATTTAAACAATGGATTATCTAATGCGTTGTTTTGGAATAAATGACGACATTGTCTGTTTCGAATTTAAAGACATTTTGTGACAGTGGGTATACAAATTACAATTTAAACGATATATAATTGATTTATTAATTATAATTAATTTGTTATTAAGTTTCGTCAACTACATTAGGAAGAGATCAAGTACATAAAATATACCTAAGATTGTGTTTTTGCGAAAATAAAAAATAAACTATTTATGTATTTTTTTAATTTGCCGTGTAAACGTTTATGTAAAATTATAATCTATTCTTTTCTGATTGAATTAACAATTTTACATACAGGTATACAATACATACATTTTTCCAATCAGATCCAATAGCAGATTTAATGACCAGAGAAATTTTTAATTGTTTAAAAGATTTTTGTGATGGCAAATCATTTCAAATCAATCAGAGAAATCACTTGCGTGTAATCTTTCATCAGTTTAAATTATTTTTTTTGGAAGGGAAGAAACGTAATATACATGCCAACCTCACCTACCCTCATTTGAAAAATGTTATTATCAGATTAAAAAATATGAAACATCAATTAACCATCTTCATATCTACCAATAGTCTAGAAATGTTTGTTAATAGTAAAATGTCATAACTGTCTATTGACGTTTAGAACAACAATCGAAGATAAAAATAACATGCTTCGCTGACAGGCCAATGACAATAAATGGTATTACGTGAAATACACGCTTGTATCGCAGTTTTGTATGTGTTTTTACAATTGATCATGGAGGTGTGTCGACTTTGTGGATGCCCTTCACAAATGGTGACACTAAAAAAATGCAGGATAAGGCTACAAATTGAATAATTTTAGGGCAACTTTAGGAAAATCTCCATTTAATGCCGTTTTCCTTTGTTTAAACAATTCAGCAATGAAATTCAAATTTTTTAGATTTTTTTTAATTTAATTATTAACCAGTAAAAAAGGAGGCTTTTGCACCTCTCGTACCAAATAACCATACAAAAAAGTGCATAATATGAATTCGAGGAGGATTATAATAAAATGGGAACCGAGTATTAATAAATGCTGTTGTATTTATTTCCAGGATAAATTCAGTTAAATGTGGATTTGGGTAGAAGTTACATATTTGGTGCACAATAACTGTAAAATCAGATGAAGATATTTATGGAATCAGATGAAGATATTTATGGAAGCTATATCAGATGAAGATATTTATGGAAGCTATATCAAAATTTGAACCGATACCGTTCAATTTGGCAGAGATAATTCTGAGCTGTATTTGATATCTGGTGCAATATATCATTGTTGTTGAGTGCATATTTCGAATGTGAGGGACTTAAACATCAAATCGTATAAAACATATATATGGGAGATATAGCTATATCTTAAACGGTCTGTTGCTAAATATCATTATTGTGAAGTGCATATTACGAATGTGAGGAACATAAACACCAAATCGGATGAAACATATATATGGGAACTATAACTATATCTTAACCGATTTTCGTAATTTGAAGTACTTGGACAATAGTTATGAAATCGAACGACACTATATATGGGAGCTTTGATCTGATTATTAACAATATGAAAAGGGTTCGTCCATGGGCCAATTAAATAACCTGTACTTTGTTTACAAAAATACATGAACACATGGACGGACGGACATGCGTTAATCGACTTAAAATGTGATTCTATGTAGATCATCAAAATGAACTAGACCCATAGTTTCTTTTGGTATAATTTCATTTTCGACATAATTCCCTGTACCCTGGGTGTGGGTAGGGTACGTAGGGTATAAAAGCTATATTGTTGCCGATCATCTTGCCAACGTAAACAACATTTTAGTAGAAGAAAACACATTCTGACATCAACTACAGTAAACATTAGATAAGAAATTGTGTTGATAATGAAATAAAAACAATAAGGTAGATGTAAATCTATTGTCCAATAACCAACTGATGAGTCGCTTTATAAGAAGTGTATTACCGTTGGTTGGAGAAAGCAGTTAAAGTGAACCTATTGCATGTTTCAAGTACCAGATTTGAAACAATTCTCTTGAAAAAGGGAAGCACTGTTAAACGTGGGTCCATGAAGCCAATTGTCTGTTGTCTGTGGACAATGTGCGTTTAGCAGGGAAAGTAAAGTTGGGTTTAAGGATGCGTAGTTACCCACTTTGACAACCACTCCTTTCGGAGAATTTTCGGTCTATTGTGTTCATTCTTGAAATTAGATAGAAAGTGGGGAGTGGTGGTATAACAACCCTCACAAATGTTTCTAGGGATAATAAGAAACTTGATCGTTGATTAGAAAATGTGTACTACATTGCTTTCGAGACGTGACGACCTGCCATGTTTCAAAACCGCCGGAAACTTAATGGTAAAGTAACGGCTTTCAATAGTGTACTATCGTCATATAGTCACTGGTCCCTCAAGTTTCTTGGTTCTGGAGGCTAGCAAATCTGGCGAAAATTGCTGCCTGAAACACGCTACTAGCCTGAATGAATATTCTGGGCTTAGACCATTGCAGAACACGTGCTGCTCTCCCTCTTAGACCTATCTATACCCAGTGGGAAAGAGAATCGATGGCCATCTCATGAACACTTCGATTTATTGATTCCATAATAAAAGATAGTTATGGAATCAATGTATAAGATGCATTTCACAATAATATATTTATGGTCATGGTTTTTCTCAATTACATTTAATAAATTCAGTAGCGCAAATATAATAACGCACGAAATTATTGATTATCAAGGTAATATATTCTTAATTTTCCAATATGTAAAATTGTACTGAAATAAGTAACTGATTGAGAATGAACGCCCAGACAAAACGGCTGAAGCTAGGACCTTGACATTTTGCACGAGGTCCAGTCTTGGTACGTAGTCGTGTAAAAGGGCTGGGTTTCGTGCTAAAAGGGTCTGAAAAGTACTAATATGTACTAAGAACTGAATACTTTGTATTAGAAAAACGGAATGAGCTAGAATTCTAAATTTTGAATGAGAATCACTGATGGAGTGCAGGATAGTTGTATCAAAGGGTTTTTGGAAATTCGAAATTTAAGCTTACAAAAAGTTCTAAAATTTTGAATAAATCAGCATAGGGAATTTCGGGATATATCGCTATATGGAATCTAAAAAACGAGGACCTTTGCCACAGTCGTTGGTGTCAACACTTCCGTTTTTAAATTATCATGAAAATACTGATAGAAAACGTGTGCCATGTATTGTCAAAGGAAGTAGGTCCCATTACAAACTATAAATACAGAATTGTAAATAAAATACATATATGTATATGCACAAATTGTGCCTTTTTTACATCAATTTGTTTTAAAGATATTGCGATTGCAATAGACAGATTGACATCGCTTAATCACTTAGAATGCGTTGATCAAGAATATGTTCGCCACATTATGGTGGATGGTATAAAAATTGGAATTGCGAAGCGGATTTACACTACCAAACGGAAATTGCAATTTATGTAGGCCTAAGCATTCTTGCTTCGCAAACAGCTAAACGTTTTGATATATGAGGGGAAGACATTTTCGTTTAGAGTTTTCTTTACGTAGTACAGATTTGGTATAGGATTAGGTACTGATATATAAACAAATTTGCATCTGCCCTGTTTTCATACGGACAAAATATGTTCAATATTTAAGCACATTTTTAAAAATAATATTTTCATTTTTTCCAATTTTAGGTAATGAAAGCCCTCTGTTACGGATCCAAATTAATAGCTGGCTATTATGGTGATCGTAAACCAGAATTGGCTAAACGTTATGCAATTGCTAGTTCACGCATATCCGGAGCAAGAGCAACACTACGTTTAATAGATGACATTCCCATGATACAGTATGCCTTGGAATATGGGTTCGGACAAGGAGTAAGTGAACATTAATCCCTCGTTTTTAAAATTAGAAGTAATACAACTCTTCTCTTCTCTTCTCTTAGGAATCAGATAGCATTATGGCTGTCCTAGGAGTTGCAGCCAATTTCGTTGATCTACTCTATTATCCTGTTGAGAAAATTTGTTGGTTATCAGAACACAAAATCGTTGATATTAAAAATCCCGATTATTGGGATAATGTCAATACGATATTTTGGGTTGTGGGTGTCTATTTGAATTTAATGAGGTAAGACAGTTTGAATTTTTCTCACATAACTATTTTTTTTTCTCACTTATTACATTGGGCTTGCAGAAATATACGCAGTTTTGGTTTAAATCAACAAAAAATAAACAATATTAGGGAGACAAAGTAAGTATTTAAAAACAGCGAACGAAAACAAACGAAACTAATAACGTACTGCTCACACGAAGTCACAAACTTTAAATTTATTTCCAATCGTTTTGTACTTCAAACAAAACAATACCACAAACATTTCAACGCCATATCGTTTGCGAACGAATCGCCCGGAAACGTTTGCTGCGCGAAATGATGACTCATACTTTTAGAGTCGTCATTCTAAATATTGGTTTTTACACTGTTTCCATTGTATGATGGACGTAATAAATAAACAAAAAGATATTAATTTAAAATAATATTAGTTTTTACTTTATTTGCAATGAGTTAATGTACAGGGAAACGTTTGTACAGTTTCTTTTCCTATGTTGCGTCATCCAGCAAAGTACATTTCAGTTTTGTTTTTGTTTCCACTCATCTACGCAAACAGTACAAAATACAAAACATGTCCCGTTATCTTAATATCGGTTTTATTTCGTTTCGTACTTCAAGAAATACGGAACAAAACGATTGCAAACGTTTGGTAAAGTTTATTTTCGTACGCTGTTTAAAAATATCATAATCACAAATTTCACCAATTTCTCATTTCTCATTTCTCTTTCTTACAGAGATAATCCGGACGTGGAAAAAATGTTAAAGAAACATCGCATTGAAATTCTAACATTGATCCGCTTATCCCTAGATTTTGTCCATGCTGGAAGTTATTTGCCAAAAGGCTACCTTTGGGGTGGTAAATTGTCGACATTCCAAATTGGAGCCATTGGAACAGCATCAGCGGCGATAGGAATTTATCAAATTTTTGCCAAACGGAGACTCAATAAATAGACAGAAAATACAGATAATTTGTAAATCATTTTTAACATGGCATTGCTATTATTTATTTTGTTTTGAGACTGCATTGTGTGTGTGGATGTTTTGTGTTTTATTTTCTGTGTTTTACAGTGCAATTTATTGTCCAGATATTTGAATACTTGGTATTGTTTAGTTCCTAAGTTTAAATTTTTGTGTTGAAAAAAGACAATGTATAGAAGAGATTTGTATGTGTATTGTAAATGTTGTAAAATAAAGTTTAGATATTTTTTATAGAATGTATGTTGTTTTTACATTTTAAATCTTATATTATTTCTTCAGATCATTTATATATCATTTTTAGTGATATCTTGAAATATATTATATTCTGGTTTGCAAAAAAATTAAGTAGGGTCAATATTTGCAACACACACAATTTATATGTTTTAGGAAAGAATAATGGAGGTTCTGAAGACCACCTCTATGCCAAATAGGACTGTTAGCAGGCATTTGTAACTCCTCGAAATAATCACGAAAGACCTTACAAAGTACATAAATTCTTGCTCAGTATAAAAGTCTTAGTCTATATAGCGAGGTCCGTCTGTTACAACCACGCTATCATTCGAACAAGAGAACAACGAGAATGCTAAAACTTTGCACATATGTCTCTGCTATCACTTGACAGGGTAAGTTTGTAAATGGCCCACATTTTCCGAAATTCGGTATTATGACGATTGAGCCACATTTTTAACGGAATTGCTTAACATTTGGTATTTAGAGTTTATTATTTACATTTTCCTATAACCTCCATACAAAACAAACCTCCATGTATTTAGTATTTTAATAACTGAGACATATATTTTAGGAGCTTCAAATCTATATTTTAATGTTCACAATAGAGACCAACTAGCAGATAATTGTCTGGTTTTTATAGCCCCTATTATGTTTTATTTGCCACATTTTCCCGAAGATTTTTTCAAAGTTTGTATTTTTTTTTGGATGGCTGTTCTTGTTAACCAACTCGTCGAATCCTATTCTGTCTTTTACCCTTTAAGAAGACAGCACTTGCGATATAGTAGGCAATCTTGAAGTTCTTGAAGGAGAATGCCATCCTTCTTTAATATGCGTTTCCTCCCGGATCTGTTGACACATACTTGGCATGCAACATAGTTTTATTGAAGCGAAGAATCTGGTCTTTCCTCGCAACCTTTAATATTTTAACCAGAGGCTCCATTCTTATTCTCTGATAATGTAAAAAATGAAATGTCTGGAGATATGAGATGGCTGATCTTTTCCATCTTCAATGCCTATATTTCTCTTCTATAGAAACTTCTTTAAAAATTTTCGTTTTCATTGAAATTTATTTATGATGATGGCGTTTTTAGCTATTATTTGTGATAATTTTTTTAAGAATGAATTAATAAAAACTTTAAAATGGCCATAACCCCTCAAATATTGAGTTTTCGGCGTTTTTAGCTATAATTTGTGATCACTCCTTTAAGAGTGAATTAATAAAAACTTAAAAATGGCCATAACTCGTTACATATTGAGTTTTCGGCTTTTTTAGCTATTAATTGTGATCACTTTTTAAGAGTGAATTAATAAAAACTTTAAAATGGCCATAACTCCTTAAATATAGAGTTTTCGACTTTTCTTAGCTATTACTTGTGATCACTTTTTAAGAGTGAATTAATAAAAACGTAAAAATAGCCATAACTCCTTAAATATTGAGTTTTCGGCGATAATTTGTGGTCACTCCTTTAAGAGTGAATTAATAAAAACTTTAAAATGGCCATAACTCGTTACATATTGAGTTTTCGGCGTTTTTAGCTATTAATTGTGATCACTTTTTTAAGAGTGAACCAGTAAAAGCTTTAAAATGGCCATAACTCCTTAAATATTGATTTTTAGTCGTTTTTATTTATTATTTGTGATCACTTTTTTTAAGAGTGTATTAATAAAAACTTTGAAATGGCCATAACTACCTAAATATTGAGTTTTCGGCGTTTTTATCTATTATTTGTGATCACTTTTTTAATAAAAACTTTCAAATGGTCATAACTTCTTAAATATTAAGTTTTCGGCGTTTTTATACCCTCCACCATAATATGGAGGGTATTCAATGTTCGGCCCGGCCGAACTTATAGCTTGCTTACTTGTTAGCTATTATTTGAGATCACTTTTTTAAGAGTGAATTAATAAAAACTTTAAAATGGCCATAACTCCTTAAATACTGAGTTTTCGGAGTTTTTACCTATTATTTGTGATCACTTTTTATACCCTACAACACTATGTGTTGGGGTATTATAAGTTTGATTGGGCCAAAAATTATGTAACACCTCGAAATATTTGTTTCCCACATAGGAAAGTACATACGGATCTTCCTATCTCACCGAGCTGAGTCGATCTAGCTATGTATGTCCGTCTTTCCGTCTGTCCATGTTAATTTGTAATCAAGCTACAGGTCGCAATGATGAACCGATCCTCACGAAATTAAAAATAGAGGTGGGGTTATGGTCATAATAGAACCCTTTTGTTTTTGGAGATGATTGCACGATATTTAGGCTTTGAAATGGACCAAAAACAGAAAAAATGTCTGATTTTGCAGTTGCTCTATAGGCCACAATTATGAACCAATCGACGCGAAAATTTACATGGAGTTAGAGTTTAGGAGTGGGCAGAAACCTACCAATAATTTCAATCCCAGCCAAATCACAAATACATTAAGATATCACTTCTGACCATTACAGTGATGCTAATAGCCAAGAAATCGGATATATAGCAAAATAGGTACAATATATATGTAAAAGAATTGATCTTATTTAGTCTGCTTATAAATCAAGAACCGCTGGGCCGATTTTCACAATTCCCAGCAATTCGGAATGGTCTCTTGGAAGAAAACGATAAAATCTAAGAAAAACGCGGAAAAAATATGCTAATAAAAAAGTGAATATCTTTTGTAGATTTTTTCAATTTTTGTCATATTTTTTATCGCATGCGATTTTATCAATTTGACTTACAATTTTGAATTGTAAATTTTTAAAATTTTTACACACCCCAACACTACGTTTTGAAGGTATTTTATGCATATCACAATTATCGTCCGATCCTCACGAAATTTTGCATGGGGGTAGGGTTAGGGTCAGAATTAAAGCCTATTGTTCTTAAGATGTACATTTAGAGGTGCAAATGGACTAAAAATAAATTTATTTTCTTCTAATTTTGTAGTCGCTCTATAGGCCACAATTGAAAACTAATCGACACGGAATTTCGCATCGGAAGAGAGTAAAATGGACCACAACTTTCCTGTGAAATTGTTTTGAATACTTACAAAACTACGGAGTGCGTAAATATTGGCCAAATTCTCCAGGCCAAAAAAAACTAAGGGTAACCTCTGGGTGGGGCTCTTTGACATTATTTCAAAAACGAAATCTTCCAAAATGGATTTGGATATAAGGGGACTTCGAACATATTGTAGTGTTGTAGGGTATCACATGGTCGGCCCCGCACGACTATAGCCTTTGCTTACTTGTTTAAGAGTGAATTAGTAAAAGCTTTAAAATGATCATAACTCCTTAAATTATTTTGATCACTTTTTTAAGAGTGAATTAATAAAAACTTTAAAATGGCATAACTTCTTAAATATTGAGTTTTTGGAGTTTTTAGCTATTATTGGTGATCACTTTTTTGAGAGTGAATTGGTAAAATGTGAATAAATCTTTTGTGTCTCGTACCGTCGCTCGTTGCCGTGCTCCTGGTAGCGTAGCCCGACGTCAAGGAAGTGGACGGAAGAAAACAGCATCATCAGCAGAAATGGTTCGAAAAGTAAAGAAGCCACTCGTGAGCTGAACATATTGCAATTCGGCAAATATTGAAAAATGAGCTCGGTTTCATTGGCCTTTTGAAAGCCATAATTCGTGCCAAAGGTGACCAATTGGAACAAATCTAAACTTATTCTAAAATTTGATGATATTTCCGACATTTTTTGCTTATCAATAAAATTAAAAAGAAAAAACAAATGTTTTACTTTGTTGCAATTTTTTTATCTAACCCTGTAAATCCAAGACTGTTGCCAGCTCCAACTCAAGCATACCATCTTCTTTTGTACTGAATTAAAATACTATTTTTATTTAGTTTTGTATGTTTTGAAATGCTTTATTTATTTTGATTATATGATTTGTGTTTCTTGTTGTTATTATTACTTATTTTTTTTTACATTTTTTGTTGTCTTCTTTCCAAAACAAAAACTTAAATATTTTTTTAGGCTTTTATATTGTCATTATACATTTTAAAAATGATTTCCTTTTATTTTTGGTTTTGTTTCAAAATTTGCTATTTGGATCAAAATGATGCTATTGCTTTGTTGCTATTGTTTTTGTTTAGAGATACATAATAAATTAAAATTAATAAAATTCTAGTATATGTTTTATTTATTTTTGGTATTCTCGGTTGTTATTGTTAATTGTTGTTTTTGTTGGTTGGCATTCGGTTTGTTTGTCTGTCTGTCAGTTAGTTTTCATTCATTAAATAGTTTATTGCTAAAACATAAAAATCCATACTTATTTGGTTATGATTTTTTTTTAAAACTTAATACAACAATAATTTAAAAACAATTTGAATTCCCTAGTGTTGAAATTTTCACAATTTTTTTTTTTGGTAATTTTCTTTTTTCTTCGTAATAAGTTCTGTTTTGGGTTTTTCATTCTTTTGTTTTTAAGAACTCATAAGGAAATCTCATATTAGTTTAAAAGCTAATATGCTGATTAATAATATGAGTATTTTTTTGTATGTATGTTGATGTTAATGTGAGTGTTTTTATTAATTATTTTGTATTTAAGTATAGCTCATTGTTATTTGGTTGTAATATTATGGTTTTTATTTCAAAAATTTCCATTAACCTTTTTCTATTAGTTTTTCAATAATATTTTTTTTTATTTTTTGTTTAAATAAAAGCTCATATATAAATATATAGGTTTAAATGTTGGGGACTGTCTGTGTGTGTGTTTTTTGTTGTTGTGATTGTAGTTGTATTGCATGTGTTTGTATAGTTTAATATTTTTTGTTTTGTTTCTTTTATATTATTCCTTTAAATATTTTTTTGTCAAAATGGTGTTGACCTTTATTAGTTTTGGTTTTGTTTTTATTTTTATAAATTTCATTTCTGTGGGATTTATTTTTTATTTATTGTGTTTTCATAAAACTTGTCTCGCCTTTTTTTCGTGGTCTTGTGATTGTGTTTTATTGAGTTGTATTTGTTTATTTTTCTTTCTTTCTTTTAATTATAATAATAATTATTTTC